CTGAAACTGTCTATTTCATTTATTTCAGTTTCGTGCATTAGCCACCATACTAATGCCTCATCTCTTAGGTGCTGTCTGATGAAGTCCTGAAATATTAGTGTGTGTCCCCATAATTGATATTGTGATCTTAGAGAGTTATTAAACTCTGTAGGAATATCCTTCTTACTGTTCCTAAAGAATAAAGGTTTCTGGTTCATCCCCTTATTTTGCTGAATCAACGTTGAGTTCAGCGCTCGGAACATGTCTGAGATACAATTACTGGCTATTATACTTGGCGGGCAGTTGGTATCAGTTCGTAGTATATTAGGAGTTCTTAGCTCCATATTTACTTTGTTTACATGTATTCTTAGGTTTTCATATTTTTCTGTATTTTCTATTCTATTTTGTTCAACCGAAGTGGTCAGTTTTGTCTCAAAGTCAAGTTCTATGTTATTCAGCCTGTCTTCATCCTTCTCAATCCGGTTGGTCAAATCAGACTGTATTTCTTCCATCCTTCTTCCTAGTCTCTTTGCTACTAGGTCTATATTATTTGTTACATCTTCTAGTTTTTCATCTAATTTTTCAGACTGATTTCTGAATTCTTCTGATATCAGTTGTCTCATCTCGCTTCTTGATTCTAAAGCCTGTTTTTTGAATCCTTCTGATATTAGTTCTATTTCGGTTCCTAATTGTTTTGACAGTTTAGCAAACATCTGTTCCATCCACATCTCTGTGTTTCCAAGTTGTGTCTTTGTTTGACCTTCTTCATAATCTTGGGACATTTCTTCGGTAACTGGTTCGTTAATGTTATCCATTTCTAACCCAAAGAGTCGGTTATTTTAATCGTTCCTTTACAAGGGATGCCAAAATGTAATATTTTTTTATTTTTATCTCTTATTTATTTTATTTATCTCTCTGTCTGTCTGTATGTTATTACCGACGTTTGTCTTTTAAAATCTGAAATCTGTCCTTCTAACCTTTAATCTTTTTGTTAGTCAATTAACCTGGTATTCGTGTATCTATTTAAGTTTGTAATAATGAATGGGGTGTACCAGCTTAGACAGGATGAGAAGGATAAGGTATATAAGGTAAGACCGCCAAGAATGATAGGGGGACAACCCCTACACATCCAGGGCTCTGCAACCGAGGAGGCAATCCCCTGACATTGCGAGGATAGGATAAGACCGCCAAGAATGATAGGGGGACAACCCCTACACATCCAGGGCTCTGCAACCGAGGAGGCAATCCCCTGACATTGCGAGGATAGGTAACCCTACACTCCCAGGGACAACCTGGAAGATGCAAGGGGGACTGTAGGAAAACAAGGGCCAACCAAGTTATTCCTACGAAAGGAGAGAGGAGGTAGGTTAGGAGAGAATAGAGAAGGAGGAAGGTAAAACCAAAAAATAACACATTGGTCTGGTTTCAAACTGTCAGACAGAGAGATACCAGGAGCCTATGTGAGAAGGTAGTGACTCGGGAGAGAGTGCCTGCCCTAGGGGCCAGGCTGCTATTTATACTAATAGTGAGCCCTCAGACCTGTGAGAGACAACACTAGTAACAATTATTTTAATTAGGCCCTGAGATCTCTCTAAGTCCAAACTCCTTTTATTTTTATTTAATTATAGTACATGAATACTTATTTTAAAAATATTACAAACATTAGTTATTTACAAAATCAGTAATTATAAAAAGAAATAATAAATAGCTTCTAAATGAAATTCATAGTTCACTAGGAAATTAACAGGTTGCGCTACTAAAATTATTAATCATTATTAGAAAAAAACAATGACTTGCATAAATGAATTAAATAGTTCATTAGAACAACGCCTAGAGGGCGCCACGCGCAACCTCCAAAACACTATACCACTAATCACTTACAATTCAACCTTTGACAGAGAAGGACCTCCCGTCCGTTAGCTCTAATACATCGTACCTTTTAATCTTTATCGCTAGTTAAATGTTATTATTGTTTTTTACAATTTCAAATTAAATCACAACTAAAATTAATACAATATCTAGAAATAAATTAAATTTATAAATATATTACATATAAATGCTCCTTTTCACACAGTTCAAGAATAATAAAAGAACAAAACATGAACATGAGTTCTATTAACAATTACAATTTATAAAGGCCCTAATAAAATATGTTACAATATATATATATACGTATAAAATATTGTATACTAGGCTCATACATATTGTTAATCCTATAATTGTATAATAATTTTAAATAATGTCTGTAGTGATTAATAAGTATGCTGTGCTGTTAGCAACCCAATGTAATTGGGCAGCACCATTTTATGATAATAAAGTGATTCTCCCTCACCTCTTATATAACAATAATGCATTAATCCTCAATGAATTGCCAATTTTGAGTATTATAAAGAAGTCTCCATTCCAAAGAAGTTGATTACTTCTAGAAGGCTCTATAGGGATAAGAGAAGGAGCTCACAATTCAGTTCTATTAGATTCATAAGACAGAATTTCATATAATAAACATTATCTATAATCTCCTCTTTTCTTCTTTTCCTTTTTTTCTTCTTCTCACCTTCCTTACCTTATCAGCTATCCAGGGTTTTCGCGGGCTATGGAAGAGACAGAAGATTAATCCTAGAGTTAAAAGCTCCCCCAGACACTGGAATTCCAACTTGTAATCTTTAATTTATGAGGTTGCCGAGTAACATGTAATTTGCTCTTTCGGCCATCTCACCCTAGTTTCTTCTAGCTTATCCCTTGTCTATAGTTGTCCCCTTGTATGAGTGAAAGAGGTGACCTGGGTGTTCTACCGTATCTTTTTCCTCTCCTAAGCACACCGTTCTAAATCAATTTTTTAATAAAAAAGTCAATCAATTTTTAAAAAAAATAAAATTCCTTTCCTTTTTGCTGACAACTTCCTTATATATATATATATATATATATATGATATATTTTTATTTCAATTTTTCTTCCTTATTACTCAATAGTTATTTTTCTTTTGAATTTTTCTTTCACTTTCTATTAACTTTCATTCAATTTTCCATAATTTTTCTGAGTAATATATCTCTCGTACCTATTTAGGCTTCCAGCGCTTTAGTTCAAACTTCGTCGGATAACCGTTAGAGATGACGCCACCTACACATCTCTTCTCTCTCCCCCTCCCTTGTAACGACTTTTATTCTCCCTTCGACACTTAAGGAGACAGGTAGTACTTCTTTTATTTCTTTCTTATTTCAGCTTTCTCAATTTCTTCCCTCCTTCTCTTTTTCTCTGTTATTATATATACATTGTAAGATAGACTTTACAATATCTCAATTTTCTATCTAACTACTCCATTCTCAATGTTTTAATTTTACTATTTATTTTCATTTCTTATATAACTTTATATTTCTTTTTTATGTTTTACATTTTATTCTAAGATTCCCATTGTAACACTTTTGTCACCCCTTTTTGATTATGCCTACTTCATCATTCCACACTTTGTAACAGTTTTTATTATTTATCTCTTAGTTCTTAGTCATTATTCTAACAATTTCATTTTACTTTATATTTATCTATTTTATTTTTCTAATAATTTTTTTTTTATTTATTTATTTATTTTTTAATTAATTTTTTTATTATTTTTTTTTTATTATCTTTTTTTACCATCATTACTTATGTTTCTCATACCTTGTTATCTGGTTATTTTCTTAGCCCTGATGAAGGCCTGAACTTCAGGTCGAAACGTCGGCATATGTAAAAAATAAATATTATAATTTATTTTTGCCTTCCTTTTTGACTGAACACCCCAACTATTCTTCTCTTCTTTAATAAAAAAGTGTGACAGCAAACATGAAGTACAGTCTCAAGGAGCATGATGTAATTACTTGTTTGTTTCAATTTAAGAATTCTTTATATCTCAAAAACTTACATAATTTGAACAAGAAAGTTTCATTCATTATTTTTTACTCAAGGTCCTAGATCAATTCCAGTTGTTTATATTAACTTTGCCTTAGTTGGCTTTCAAGCTATTTACATCAAAAGATGAAGAAAGTAGTATTCTATCTGGATATATACCGTTCTTTCAACATTTGATCTTGTCTAAAAAAAACCTAGCTTATAACTTTATAACTAAAATCCGAAGATGTGGTAACGTAAAATACTAATCTAAATATTATTAATCTATAAAATTATTCATTTAATTTATTTATGACCTAAAACTCAAAAATATATTCATGTAAAACAAGTAACATAAAAATAAACCAACAGGTATTTATATTAGTGACTCATAAAATGATGTAAGTAATTTTTATAGATAAATATTTATGACCAAATAAAGGCAGGAAGAGAAATATTGTAAATTCATGATTAAATAATGGAGTAAAATGAAAAAAAGTAATATTGTTGTACTAGAGTTTATGTAAGTCTCAGGGACATCTAACAGCCTTAACATGTATGGACACTTTTTCTTAACACATATTTTCGTTTACAGCAATTCTTTCCAATCCAGGAATAGAGTTACAGTTTCATAAAAATAACCATGCAATGTTCAATAATTTTTAATTATCTATCAATATTATTTTAATAATGTTTATGATGTAGAGATGGTTGACCGTGATATAATATGAGAAGAAGTTGGTCAGGGAGGAGGGGGGGGGTGCGGTCAAATAAATACTAAATTTTAAAAAATAGTATTTTTATATATAAATACTAAATTTGAAAATTTAGTATTTATTTGACCGCACTCCCTGACCAACTCCTTCTCATAATAATCTTTATTATAAAAGGAATTTTTTTGATTTTTAATAAAGTTAATAGAAGGAATAAAACTAAAAGAACCAGAACACTGAGCAAAAATTAAGTCGCAGAATTAAAAATATATTTCTTAGCTTCATCTTTAAATCAACTAATTGTCTAGTTTCAATATCCTATTGAATATCTTCTGATTATTATTTTATTTAGCTTATATTAAGTTTCAAACAAATATTTAACAACTTCAAACAAATGACTAAAGAAGGCAAAAGTTAAAAAATGAACATAAAATAAGAAAACATACTAACCTATCATTGTAAAGTTGAATGTGTCTTGGAGTTTCTCCTTGAGGCACAGAATCAGTCAGTTCTTGTAACTTAAGAACTTGAAAATCCACAAATTCACAGTTTTCTGGTTTTATTTGGTAAGGATCCAAAGGGCATTTAGTTTGTCCAGTTCTTTCACTATAAAAAAAAAAGTTATAATTTAAAAAACCTAAGCAAATCAATAACATTCAATAAATACTGTATTTTATATAAATACTTTACATACAGCTTTATAGTTATATTCACTCAATTATTACTGAGGTGTACTCCACCTTTGGTAAAAATTATTGTACTTGTAATAGATGTAAATGTATTATACAAATTGATAAAGCAATAACAGATAAAAAACAAAAACTGTAATTAAAGGCAGTTAATAAACATAATGTCACAAAATCATAACGACAATCAACATGATGAACAAAAAATGATCAAATGTATGGTTAGAGGACAATGCCCTCCTCTAAGAACCTAGTCGTCATAATCAGCATCTCAGAAACCTTTAGAATTAATATCCCAATCTTTAATTTCGTAAATTCCTACTGCCTTCATTACAAGTCTTCAGCCACAATAATCTGTATAATGTTCATAATAGTTTTTATTTAATTCATGTGATGCTTTAGTTCTATATAAATGATTATTTTTCCTGAAGGTTAACAACACACATTTTGGTTCTAAAATAAATGAGTTTCAACCATTTTCAACAAATTTTGAAATATTTCTTCCCAATGTTGTAAGTCATAGTAAGTGGTGAGTTTGATATTTTACAAATAGGGAATTAATGTTCTTATACCAAAATGAGTTTTTTTGATATGGGCTCATAAGTCAACAAATTGTACATTATGTCCATAATGTATTTAAGGAAATGTTTTAATGTGTGAATGAATTATCGTTAACTTTTAGTTTTCAGATACAAAACATTATCAGATGTGTTCACTGGTAGGCTAAATAATATCTTAATAAAAAATATCAGTAGTTTTTCTATAGTTTCATACATTTGACCTCCCCTCTCTCATATCTGTGCACATCTTGTAGGAAAACAAGATACTATTATAAGGATGAAAAATGGTCAGGAGGTGCGGTCAAAAAATTATGTTTATTGAGATTGCCAACGCTTATAACATACTCTATAATAACAATACTACTACTATTATTATTTAATATTGTTCTCTAAGCTACACAATACCATTCCCTTTAAATTTCGAAACTTTCCTCCATTTCTAAACATGATTACTTGTAATTTTTAAAGATTCATAATTAAATTACATTTTCTAAAATAAACCTCTATTTGGTTAATCGTCATCTGAAGGATTGAAGGATCTGAGGAAAACAACACTAAATCATCCGCACAGGGGTTCCCAGAAGGGGGTTTCATGGCACAAGTTGCGCCATCAATATTTGTGAGGGGGGCACAATTTGAGAGGATTTTGAATTTTGGAGGGGGCACATTTCGACGGAGTTATAAATTTTCAGAGCGAAAAGTTTCGAACTAGGGAAAAAACATTGACCAGACCAGAGCAAGTGTAATGGTATATAACCTACAATTTTTCTTATTCTATTTTCGCTTGCACTGTTTTTAAGAAGACCAGACCAATAACATTTCATGGAAGTGGGGGGATGAGTACATACACGATTGACATTGAGGGGGAAGGGAATGGGCACCCCTGCATCAGCATATGCTAACAGTTTTACCTTTACACTATTTGTATATATGCTTCCTTTTACATATTTATCTATGTAATTTTAAGATAAGAGAAAAAGCAATGGTGATAATATTCCTCTTTGTATTAAACCCATATTCATTTCAAATCCTTTATATAAACCTTCTTTTCCCCAAATAAAACCATATGTATTCTCATGCAATCCTTGAATAATCTGAATTATTTTTGAAGTGATTCCCATTTCATTATCGAATGTCTGAAAGTTGTCTGAAAAAATAATTGAAACAAAACCAATAAATGCAGGCTTAATAACATAGAGGTTTCCCTAAAATATTGGGAATATTGAGCAAGAGAACTAAAGCTCTTAACTAGCAAGACAGGTGGATAACGTATTTATATCAAAATTAAAATTTATTCATTAATAAGGTACTCTTACAACTAATAACGCTTATATACACTTACGTGGTACAACGGCGTGGAAGAGCATAGCCTTCTAAGCCTGGTTTGAGAGGAAGTTTTGGAATATTGTTACCACAAGACTTACACTGTATAGTTATAGAAGTAGCTTTAGTTTTTAACCCAGTAGCAGATATAACTATTCCCGGAACAGTAACAATCTGTGATACCAGTTCTGACTAAAAAAACAAAAAACAATCTAAATTATTTCTAAATAATTTTATATATATGATCAAAATAAATAAGGGTTGTTGAGTTTACAAATTAAATATGGTAATCTGGCCATTACAAAATTCAGCAACTTGGTCTAACAAGAAATTAGTTACATTTAACAAATAATTACAAACAAAGGAGAATTGATTCTTTCCCAGATTCGTGATAATTTAGAGCTAAAGCATTTTTTTATCAAAAGATATCCCCTGTGATACCATGTGCAACAAGTGGAGTAAATGAGAAATAGCAAAAATTATATCTCAACACTCCTTCATTTATTGAGCAAGGTTAAGGTAAAAATCTTAATTTTTCTAAAACCTATTTATTATATGCTCAAATAAAAAGAAAACACCAAAACAAAAAACTGCCGGCTAGCTTAGGTTGCAACATATAGAATAAACCACCCTCTGTGCCTTAGTTATACTACATAAGGATGTTAACAAAAAAATAAATAAACAAACTTTTTTTTATTGGAACGAACAACTTTAATCCCAGGATTTTTTTTTATTAACTGGTAATAACTCTTATCAAAGGTAGCCTTGGTAATCTAAAATGGGTAATATAATAAAATATAATCAGATTTAACCCACTTTCAAGCTACGTAGCGAAACTGGCAAAGCTTCAGAAGTTAACATTATTTGAATATCTTCGACTTCATCTTCTCCTTCTGGACGTGGGGAAGTAATTTCATCAGCTAATTCTTTTGCAGCTTCTTCAAACTAAAATTCAAAAAAACATACATTAACTTAAATGAACACAAGCGAGCAGCTCTCCATTAGGCACATAATCAGGATTTTACTCAGCTTAGGAGGTCATTAAATTAAGGGTGTACAATGATAAAGCCTGTCTTAATATATGGCTCTGAGGCCTGTTAATAATTAAATGTGAACTTTTAAAATTATTTTTAAGTTTTTAAAAAAAGTTAATAAAATCCACCGAATCAAGCTGATATTGTTAAAAAACTATTTCATTGTACTTGTGTAAAAAAAGAAGTAAAATATAAAAATATTGCAAAGATGACAAAATATGTGTTTATAACCTTTAATACATTTACTGTAGTATAATATCTCTAGAACTGATAATATATTTAAATAATAGATATCTATTGTAGATTAATTCCAAAAAATCATGACGTTTCATTTAAGAAAATTAAATTAGTAAATAATTTGACGTATTTTCCTGTTGTGAAATCACAACATTATCCACTTACAACTGGTGCCGACCGGCCCAGAAAGCGCAGCGGAGCTGAAGGGAGTCAGCTTCAAAAACCGAACCAAAGGTTTTTAATGGCAGGGCGGCCACCAGAAGCTGAGCTGAGCGCAGTTGAGCGGTGTAGCAAGTGTCAGCTTTGGGTCGACCAGGGTTCAGTTTTGATTCCGCTATGCTCAGTTTCCCCCACCACACCTACTCAACAGTCACACAACCGTGAGGCTTTGTTCTTCAGTGTTAGACTTTTTTTTTGCTTGTTTTCACTGTACAACCTCTCAAATTATTTTATTTTGGTTCAGTATAAAATATGCAATGAATGTGAAAGAATTATTAATCGAATGTATACAGAAAAATATTCGATTTTATACATAAATATTTGATTTTTCTTTTCAACTCCGACATGATCAACTTTGCTACTTATTTAAAATGTGATTATATATATATATATATATAATATATAATATAATAATATATATAGGATAAACAAGTTTATCCGCTTGTTTTCACTGCACAACATCTCAAATCATTTTGGTTAAGTATAAAATATGCAATAGATGTGGAAGAATTCTTAATCCAATGTGTAAGGGAAAATATTCAATTTTTCTTTTCAATTCCAACATGATCAGTTTTGCTAATTTTTTAAAATGTTATATATCCTACACATTTTTTAAAAATGTTATACGGAATATGAGAAGGATCCCGATGCAAGGCTAGTTGCTGACTGAGCTGAGCTCAGCTTTCAGTGGCCGGTCAGCCTTAGTGTGACAACTTTTGAACAATCGATGGAATGCAATGAAAATCTCTTAACACAATTTTAGTAATCTTTAACATGGAAAAATAAGAGTTTAAGAACTGATAGTAGTACAATTCATAATCATTCATATGTAGATTAAAGATACAGATGTACTTTCAAACCTCTTTAAGCATGTATAGCTCAAAGGTTGGAGTAATGTGGTTTAAAAAAAACAGACAGTCACGAGGTTTTCCTTTATTTATACCTTTGATATAATAAATAGGATTTGTGCTATTTTAATAGCCTTAATAAGTTATTACATGTTAGTAATTTCAAAAACAGCTTCGAATAAATGATAACTAACCAATACATTACTTATCTATTATATTATATCTATTGTACAAAACAGATATAATGAGCCAAAAATTCCACTCCATTAACAAGATCTGTGAAGAAGAGAAATCGTTTCCGAGAATAGTCAAATTCAAAGACGACAGTTCCACAATAACCTCAATGAATGATCAATGGTTGGAAATAGTCCAGTATATAACTAGCTCAAACAGATCTGTCTTCTATCCAATGAATGACCATTGGTCAGAAATAGTCCAGTATATAATTGAATTTTGAGTTGAAAAAAAAAATCAAAACAATAATTACTATTATCCTATTCTAACTATTAATGATTAGGAGGATAGTCAGATGCCTGAAAAAACCAATTGTAGCCTAGCATTTATTTAATTGGAATAGGAAATATTGGTATATTGTGTTTTCAATATCATTGGTACCTGTAATCCCAAGGACAATGAAAAGGGATATTAAACTGTATACATGAATTAATCATACAAGACTTTATTTCTTCCTTAACTCCCATCTTCGGCTCGACAGGTTTTTTTTCCAGAACAGGGGAAAGGATGAGCGATTATACCAGAGTTTCAAGCTCGCAGTACCAGGACTCAACCTCTTAGGGCCAGTTGTAATGAACTACAATAAAGGACCAGCAGTCGGAAATCTACCAGTGTATAACAAGCGCAAACAGATCCTTCTTTCTTTCAAAAGTATTGAAATCACTAAATATCTCAAATTAAGGGTTTACAATGCTATGATGACGCCAGTTCTGATGTACATCTGCGAGACTACTAACCACTAACCAGCACTTTAGAGAGAAGTATTGAAGATTTGAGAGAAAAATTCTTCACAATAACAACAGCGATCTGGGATCAGCGTAACTGCTCATTCAATATCTCATGACGTGAAGCTAAGGAGTTAAAGATAAGTGGGGCATGTCACTGTAAGCTATCCACCAGAAAGCCTCTTTACAACAATGAATGGCTTAATAATAGGCAAGAGACTATGTGGAAGCCCAAAAAACAAATAGAAACAGTCCAATTTCTTGGCCCCCTTCTTCCACTACCAGTGGGCAAGGGACCTCTTCTCTTGTAACATTCAGTCTTCTTTATTTATTTATTTCCATACTCTGAAGTTTCTATTTGAGCTCTGAAGTTTCTTCTGATAATTAAATATTTTATAAGTATGAATAAGTTATTGTCTAATTTAATTAACCATGTAAGAGAGAACAGGAAAAATATATAATTTAGTCTTATTAATAGCCAACCTTTGATTAATTCAAAGAGAACAAGATATTTTAATCCCACTAGCCAGAGAGCCGTCCTCTGGTAAGTAGTGGAAGCATCCAATGTTGGACAGCTCCCTAGGGTGAAGAACCGAAGGTTAAGTAAGTGCTGATGCCAGAATCCTTGGAATCAGGAACTGGCAGATGGCTGCTAAGGACAGGGAAACATGGAGGAAAACTATTGAGGCAGCCAAGATCCAGTAATGGATTGTCGAGCTCAAGATAATGGCGATAATACTTTTACTAAAACTAAATTCCCCATTTATCCTATTACCATAATAATGTGATTATATAAATTTAATAATAACGTTTTAGTCCTTATAAAATATTTAATTATCACAGGAAAATTCAAAGTTCAAAACAATAAAGAGTACGAAGAGCAGTTTCTTTTATCCAAGAGGCGATGGAAGCCGGATTATTCTGCACTCTCCAATCCCTTCAGTGAACTATACAATTCTTTTTAAAATCGATGTACAGAATACCTTAAAGCAGCTCATTTTCTGGTGACGAGGAGCTATAATATTCTACCTTACTACCCCTCGATTTAGTAGATCAGGCAGTATCATATTAACAGTCCTTAACGGAGAATTCTAGTTGGAGAATTACAGTTAAAAAACAAAACAATAAACATAAATTTATAAGTTTACTCACAGGCGGAAGAAATTCTGTAGGCTGTTTTTTTAATTGCTGAGCAAGCTTAGAGTCAAAAGCAGCAAGATCTTCAATATTTACTTCCAAGTAAAACTTACCAAGGTTATAGTTATTTTTCAGTTGATCTCTACAACAATTTCAATAAAACATAATATCCCTGAATTAAAATTACTTATAAGATCATTATCATAGCTGATTTTTTGTGTGATCATAAACAAAGTGTATTAAATCAGTTTAATACACTTCTATTCTAATAAGTTAAATAAGAATATGAATTGATATTAACAATTGTGGATCCAACTAGTACCAATTACCATGTCTTATTTACTATTTATTCTTCCATTTTGTCTTTATTATCTATTTAATTGGAAATCTATTTATTATCATTACTTAATAACATCCGATTAAAAGTTTTTATATACCGCAAATTATTCATTGACTAATTATTAATTTTATTTTTCACAACTCACATATACTTATCAAATTTATTTTTGAAAAAAAAAAAAAGTTTTCATTTCACCATTACAAACTATAATTATAGATTTTAATTTTTTATTCACTTCTTAGAACTTATTCCTTAGCAAATAAGATATAATTTATCAACTGCCACCTGCAGTGCCTGATGCCATGCCCTGATGAAGACCTGCAAGGTGGGTCGTAACGTCGGCGTAATAATTTAATAATACTATTTTTATAATTTAGTATTTATTTGACCGCACCCCCCGATCAACTCCTTCTCATATTTTATTCTTGTTTAATATTAGTTGTTAAATATTATTAATAGATATTTAAAAATTTATAGGTTATCTTTTTTTTCTCAGCCCTGATAAAGGCCTGATACTTAGGTCGAAATGTCGCTACTGTAATGAATTACAGAAATATCATAACTCAAATAACGCATTTAATTTCCAATCTTTACATAAACACACCATAATAATCAAACAGCTTGTTTTTTTGTGGTTACCAAGTACAATCTTTTCAAAAAGAAGATAATCGATTAATGTTTACTAAAAATAAATTTGATAATACATTTTTTTCGTGGCATAAGTGCACTGCGGCCATGTAGGCCTATTGTACGCCTAGTTTAAAGTCACTTCAGTTTAGAGTGTGATTCCTGCAGTCTCAATGAACTGTAATAGGCTAGTTGGATTGATAAGCTTGTTTGCCTTGGGATCCTTCTCCCTGTCAATGCAGAATAAACTAAATCTTAGGCCAGCAAACCCATCGCACCAGCAAGTGACATGATATGCTGTCTCATCCTCCCGGCCACAGTACCTACAAAGAGACGACTCAGTGAGCCGGAGTTTGAACATATGATAATTCAGTTTACAGTGCCCTGTATATGCTGCTGTAATTTTCTTAAGTGAGCTCCTGCTCAAATTAATTAGTAAGTTAGTTCTTTTTTGACAGATTCCTTCCAGAAACAGTCTGGAATGGGTCTGCTTTTTCAATAACGAATTCTTTTTGTTTTCAGCACCATTTATCTCCCTGATTCTGTTTGTTGTCAGACACTGACTAATACCACATATGGGTTCCGGAGCTTACATTGATAATACATTACAACTTTCCTCCTCAAAAAAAAGTAACACAATTCATAAATTAAAACACATGAATAAAAGTAACATATTTCAGATTTCTTCAATAACACGTCTAGGTGGACGACGGTCTTTAACAGGCCGAGGCAACTTGTAAGGGCCCGTTATATTATCTAGTGGTTGCTAAGCAATAGAGACATCCGATGTCGTCTGTCCATTGTTTGAAATGCTCGGAGTCTGTAGTATGGCGGTGTTGCCATCATCTTCTAAAATTACCTCATCACTCCTACCACGCAGTTGATCTACATGTCTGATCCAATGACTCTCCAGTTCTGGCACCAACCCACGAAATCGCCTAGGTCCAGGCATCCAATTATTTCAAGAATAATTCCTTTCTTCCATGACCTTCTGGGAGACCTAAAATACATCACCCATGCCTTCTCATTCATACTAAACTTCACTTCCTTCGTACCTCTGGAATACTCCACTTGTGTTCTATGAATGGTCTTACTCACTGGGTAAGGGCGAAATAAATCTAGCTGTCTTCGTAATTGTTTTCCAAGAAGCAGCTCAGCTGGTGATTTGCCCATAGTACCATGTATGGAGTTGCGATAATCCATTAAAAAAATTGATAAAGTCATTTTCTTTTGAAGTTGATAGTATCAAACTCCATATCGCTCTGTTTACAGTGTTTTCTGCAGCTCCATTTGTTTAGGAATGAGATGGAGCACCTGGTCTCTGCTCGATTCTGTTTCCCTTGAGAAAAGTAACAAATTCTCAGGAATAGAGAGATGAATAATTGTCACAAAAAAAGTTGTCTAGGAACTCCAAAATGTGCGAATAAATCTCTTAATACCTTTATAATATCTTCTGCAGTCATGCTATTGGACATAATCGCCTTAACCCACTGAGAATATGAATGAATGAAAATAATTTTATTATTCTAGGACTAGTATCCCTTTAGAACAAGTTACAAATACAGAATAGATATTAATATTTTGGTGTGTCCATAAAATACAATTTGATATTTACAGGTAGATTAGGAATACAATAAAGTTGTAAATAATAAAAAGATATAAAAACGTGTAAATATAAAATATACAGAGAAATTAATTAAGTAAACGAAATATCGATGAATCACAAAATAATCAGAGTATCTGGGTGTACTTTGAGGTTTTAACAACTTAGGTTTTTAAGTGCAATTCGTGATCAATCGGATCGGGAATGGAGTAAGTGTTTGAAGAGTAGAGAATTGAAAGAGGATATTGATTTTGCGTGTCGAATATCTGAAGGTATAGAGTTCCAGAGAGAGACAACTTGTATTAAAAATGATTTATCAAATGCAGCAGTTAGGTGAGGAGGATAGAGGTCGGACGCACGGGATCTGGTGGGACGGGATTGAAAGGAGCGTTTGAATTGTAGGATCTGTAGAATATAGGCAGGTCGCCGCGTTCTAATGGCTTGCTATAGGAAGGTAGCAAGGAAATATTGACGGCGGTAGACGGATAAAGCCACTTCAAATGGGTTAATATGCGTATCCCTTGAGATCCCGAATATAAAGCGGATTGAGCAATTCGTTAGAGGTTTTAAGTTTAGCTTCGAGTTCTCCCGAGAGTCCATCATACACCATGCTGCCACAGTCGAAGTGGGGGAAAACAAGAGAGGAGACCAGGAGTTGACGAGTTTTGAATAGAAGAAGATAATGTAGATGGTTAAACTGTTTCAGGGTGAATATAGTACGGCGGGAAATTTGGGAGATGTGTGGTTTCCAGGAGAGGCTTTGATCGAGGGTAACGCTTAGGTTTTTAATGGTGGTATGGAAGGAGATAGGTGAATTGTTCAGAAGAAGATTAGGAGGTGCTGAGATTTGAGGAGTGAGGAGGATCCGATCAGGATGGCTTTTGTCTTCTCCATATTTAATGTCAGCTTATTAAGATTTGCCCATGCGCATATTCTATTGATATCTTGTTGCAGTTTCAGGATGGCTTTAGAGGAATCTGTTGGGTTGATGTAGGTTGAGGGAGGTCATTGATGTAGAGTAGATGGAAAAGAGGGTAGGAGATAATGAGGAACCTTGTGGGACGCCTCTGGACAGAAGTAGAGACATTGATTGAGGGTTATTAGGAACTACAACGTACTGGGAGCGATTGGTGAGAAAGGATTGGAACCACTTAAGGGCACTAGATGATAAGGAAATATTTTTAAGTTTGGTTAGGAGGATATTATGGTCAACTGAGTCAAATAAATGCTTTAGAGAAATCAATAAGGGTCAGGATGGTGAGTTTCTGTTGATCTATGGCTGTATGGAGATCTTGGGAGATTTTAATGAGGGCGGAATGAGTGGAATAGTCTGGTCTAAAACCAGACTGGAAACAGTTCAAATGTTTATTTTGTTCGAGATATTGGGATAGTTGAGATTGTACTATTCGTTCTAAAGGTTTGGAAAGGTTAGATAACAGGGAAATTGGACAGAAATTATTAGGGATTGTGGGGTTAGAGATTTTGTTCAGAGGACGAACAAGAGCGGTTTTCCAGGTGCTGGGAAAAGTGAAACTTTGTAGTGAGAAATTATAGATATGATAAAGGACTGGGAAAATGGATGGAAGCGAGGATTTAATTAATTTAACTGGGATATTGTGTCTTCGGATGAACAGAAGACACAATGGGTGTTGAGTATGTCAGCTGAAATAGAGGTAGTCTAGGTTTGGTTGGATTTGCCTAAGGATAATTTATGAAGGCAAATTTACAATTTATTATCGCAGGTGTCAAACAAGGGGCTGGGGGTACTTGATTGTCCCGATTTTAAGAGGAGCGTGACGGTCTAGGATAATGTGCAGTTGATTGGTTAGATTTTACCATAAAACCAACGGAGTTAGAAGAGTATATGGAGTCCCATAGAACTGCGTCAAGATCGGGCATCAAAGTTTCGGATGATAGGAGATTAAGGTTTCTGAAAGATATAGATCAGGGACTAAATAGAGAAACAGGAAGGTTACAGGAGATCTATATGAGATCGTGAGCAGACATAAACGGAACCGGGTGCTGTGATGAGGCGAGTAGTTTATCAGGAGAGTCAATAATGCAAAGATCGAGCCAAGAGTCTAAGTATTGGGTGTGATGGGTAGGGTTGTACGGAACTATATACAGATTAAGAGAGTAGAGATTTGATAAATAGGCTTGGTCTGAGGAAGGAAATAATAGGGTTGGTATTGAAATCTCCGAAAAGAGCAATATTGGAGTAGGAAGGGCTCAGTTCGTAGAGGATGGTCTCGAGTGTTTCATCAAAGGGGATTTTAGGAGGTCGGTAGATGACACCGATGAGCAATAAATATGAGGTGGATATTTTTCAGCAAAAAGATATTCGATATGTGGAGAGACGGAGGGAGGAGACAGCAAGGATTTTGGATTTCAAGCTATCATAGACAAAAATGGCTACTCCGCCTCCGATTCTATTTTCTCAATTGTGACGGAGTAGGGTATAGTTAAGGAGTGAAACTTGAGAGGATGTGACCATGGGTTTTAACCAAGTTTCTGAGACATCGATTAGTTGGTAGAAATTGTTGAGGAAGAAATTATGGAATTCATCTAAGTGGGCTAAAAGTGACTATGCGTTGACATGACAGGATAATAATACATTAACCATAAGAGATGGTAGATTGGGATAGTGAATCGGTAGGAGGGGCGACAGATATGGAAATAATTAGGTTGGATTGATCTGAGATACACCGTAGATGCTGAAAGATAAATAGCAAAACTATTGAAAGTAGAAACTAGAAAAAATAGGTAGAAGAAATAATCTAGGTAGAGTATCCTATAATCAATGGAAATAAGAAACAAAAAAACAGTAGATCCGTACAAACAGAAAACGAAAATATACTCTAGCGAATAATGAGCAATAATACTAATGAAAATAATAATAAAATTGGCTGCAATATACATATAAACTAAATTGAAAGAAATATTATACTTATAACAGTTAAGTAAATAGAAGAAAGTTGCTAGAAAATGAGGTGGAGGGTTGAAGGAACGAGAGCAGAGAAGTCAAGTGAAGACGTCAAGGTCAGAAGGTGAATTTATGACAACTACAGGCTGACCGTCGGTTCGCCTACACTTCACTTTGCCATCACCAAACCAGATATATTTTATTTTTTCAGCCCCTCTCCTCTGTCTTGCAAGCCAGTACAGTTACCTGTTGGTAGAGGTCATAGCTACTGCGATAAAAATTGTGTGAACATCGTTCTCCTGCCAGCCCGTGACGTGTAGATAAATCTCTTACCACTTTCTGTTTATGAATCAGCTCATTTCCTAGCGTTTGTCAAACAAATCTGAACAATAGTGGACCAGGAATGTTATCTTGCCGAGTTCTGATCCTCTCTATGCTGTCAACATTTTCCACCTTTAGGCTTGGCCCTAGCCACACTCACTATCAGGCCCATTGGAGTTTCACCAGATCTCACCAGAATTCCTCTAATCTCTGCAGTTATGGGAAATATGGGGTGCAATCGCTGAGAATGGAATTAGGAGAAGGAATGAGCTGCGTGAACAGAATGGGAAACCTGATAACATTGACATTGTTAAATGAGCCCGGATAAGATGGATAGGTCAAGTGGAAAGAATGCCAAAGAGGACGCTCTATGAGAAGCCGGATGGCAAAGGAAGTAGAGGACACCCATGGATCACGAGGCAGGAGAATGTGGAAGATGTTCTAAGGCGACTGGAGATTAGATGAAAGGAGGTAGCTCAGAACCGGAGAGATTGGTTGAGTGAAGTGGAGTAGACCCGGGTCCTAAGACCATAGTGCCACTGTAATAAATAAAATATATAAACCTCAAAATGAGGATTACATATATTATACACATGGGTTTATGAGAATTGATGACATTAACAGAGTAATGGCAAAATATAAACAGAAAAAATTGAATTATATTGGTGTGTAAATAAAAAAGGAAATAACAAGTTAATCACACCAAAAGAATAAAACTTGACATCACGAAAACAATCTCTTCATATAGATCAATATTATATAAATCAACATAGTCAAAGGCACAACACAGTCAAAACTAATTAAAATAAATACAAAGGCTTATAACTAAAAAATAAAATAATAATCAATTAATTCTATTAACTACAAAAACGAAAATACCTATATTTGTAATTGAAATTGTTCACACTGTAAGTTCTTAGAAAATCTTTAAAAGTAACCTTAGAATTGGTCACTTCAAAACTACCTCTTCCTTCTCTTATACAATTATTATAATAAACTGGCAATGAATCAAATCCTTCCATATCCAAGAAGAAAATAACCCTGTACAAATTAACGAATAGGATCCACAATAATAGCTATCGGAGAACATTAGGTGCTATTATGGCGGGAAAACGTAAGGAGTTGGCAAAGAAGTACGAAGCTAAAATATGGAGATAAGCAAGTTCCTAATCAAAATTCAAGTAAACAATAACACCCTCTTAAAATGAATAAATAAATAGAATCACAACGAACTCTAAAAATCATTCATAGATCCGAAATAATACCCATTTTGAAAAAAGGCAAACCGAAAGAACTGATGTCCAGTTACCGACCTATCGCGCTAACCAGTTGTGTTTGCAAGCTGTTGGAAAGAATGATTGCGTATCGTTTAAAATGGTTTATGGAAAGTAAAAACATTCTTAACTTATGGCAAAGTGGTTTCCGAAGCGGCAGAAGTACACTAGACAACCTAATAAAATTAGAAGCTGACGTAATAGGAGCTTTTCGATCAAAGGAATTCCTCTTAGCGGTATTTTTGGATATCGAAAATGCATTCAACTCTGTATGCATAAAATATTTACTAAATGCGTTGACTGAAATTGGGATATACGGTGAAATGTTTCGATTTATATTTAATTTCCTAAACAATAGGACGTTTTATGTAAGATCCGGCAACGCAATATCAAATGAATTTAAACAAATAAGCGGTGTCCTACAAGGCAGCGTACTTAGTCCTATATTATTTAGCCTGGCAATTAACGGAGTCGCCACAAAAGTAAGATTCCCAGCTAACATCTTGATGTACGCTGATGATGTAGTGATTTATGTTAAGGGTAAAGATACTACGCTTAATCACGAAATTCTACAAGAAGCTTTATTAGGTGTAACATCTTGGCTTAATACACATGGTTTTAAAATTTCCGTCAACAAATCACAGACGATATTATTTACGCGAAAACGAAATTTTATCATTAAAAATATTAAAATTGACGGGAAGGATTTAGTGTATTCAACGAACATTAAATATCTTGGTGTCACTTTAGACCGCGCTCTTACATGGACACCCTATATAAAACAGCTTAGGGCTAACTGTTTAGAGGCTTTAAATATCCTAAAAACGGTAAGTAATTACAACTGGGGAGCTGATAGAATCAGTATAATTCGATTGTATAAGGCAATTGTGCTGAGCAAATTAGATTATGCGTGTATAATATATGGTTCCGCTAGCATAAGGACACTTGAGATGCTGGATACGATCCAAAACATAGCACTTCGAGTAGCAACTGTTGCTTTTCGATCAAGCCCCATAGCGAGCCTTCAAGTTGAAGCAGGTATAATGCCATTGGCTATACGAAGGCAAATTTTAGACTTGGCGTTCTATATAAAAACAATTTTTAGACCCACTCACGCTTTAAAAAACACACTTGTACCAACAACAGTTCTCGTAAACCCACCAACTAAATTATCTTTAGCAGAAAGGTGCTCAATTCACATCACAGACTTCGATCTCGCACCTTTTCCTTCCATTCTAGAAGTTCGGCAATTGCAAACAGAGCCCTGGCTGTTACCAATTCCAAAAATACATAAAGTAAAATTTAACAAGGCCCTTGCTTCAAAGTTAGCAGAATTTACGGACTTCCAAATGAAACATTCCAATTGGGAATATCTTTTCACAGATGGGGTCAAAAACTCAAGATGGAGTCGGTGCGGCCACTGTTTCTGATAATGTGGAAATGTTTTCATTGCCCCTTTACTGCACTTCCTACCATGCAGAACTGTTTGCAATAAATCGTGCCGTTTGTAGTCTCACCTGCAATAAACAACAAATTTTTATTTGTACAGATTCGGAATCTGCACTCAAAGCTATTAAAAACTCGTTTTCAACAAACTCATTAGTCACAGACACGGTTAAGCATATAAAAACATTGGAAGGTGTAGGATGTAAGGTACAATTTTTGTGGTTACCGGGTCACTCAGGTATCAGAGGTAATGAGCTAGTCGATATCATGGCAAAACAGGCAATTACAGAAGGAACTCCAGTAGGGGATGCTTTCCCAAAAGAAGTAATAGCTTTGGTAAAGCGAAAGGCTCTAGAAAAATGGCAGGGTCTCTGGCATGTGTTAAGAGAGAATAAGTTAAGAGTGATCGAACCCTCTGTAGTTCCCAATCGAGCGGACCTTCAGATAAATAGAAGAGAAGAAATAATACCGACAATGCTCCGAATCGGCCACTCACGGCTAACCCATGAGCACCTGATGAGAAAGAGGACGCCCCCTCAGTGTCTCTGCCGCGGGGTCAATTTAACAATCAGGCACATTTTGACTGAATGTTACGGATATGAAAATCAACGTAATGAAGTTGAATTGGAGAACGATATAACTGAAATTCTAAAAAAATAATACCAAATTGGCAAAAAAAGTCTTTACATTTCTTCAAATAACGCACCTTTACAACAAAATTTAAAGTTTGCTGACTCTTATTTTGTTTTAAATATTTTATGCTTTCAATTTATTGTTAAATTTAATTTCATCTAAAATCAATGTAAAATAAATATTTTGTAAGGGCTAAAATGACCCCTAACCGTGGGAGCCCCGCCATTGTTGTAAATAAATAGATGTGTAAATATGTTGAGTAAATAATAGAGATCATACTCCTACCCAGACATAGTAGAGATCAATTACAATTTCTAATTTACACATTAAGACACAGGTGGGTCAACGAGGAGGGGTGAGGTGGGGGCTTTCTGCTGGAGTCCCAATCCCAAAAAAATGGTTAAATATAACCATATCTTTTGAAAACAATATTAAATAATTTCAATAAGTATTATTGTTCTTGTAATTACATTTTATAGTACTTAAGGAATCCCTTAAATTCTATTTCATAAAGATAGTTAGTTTCTTTATTTTTCTTCCCAAGTAATTATCGTTATATATATATATATATATATATATATCTTTCGAGCTGAAGCACCCCTAAAGCTAAATCTTGGATCCGCTAATTCATTAAGATCATCGATCTATTGTCCAATAAATGAATCCTCAAAAAGGGGTTACAAGTGGAAATGGAAGATACACAATTTTTGGCATTAGGAATTTGTTTGAACTCGTTAAGAGCTAAACGTACTAAAAGTCACCCTGCTACTAGAAGAGCGAGACCCAGAAGGTAAGTTATTTTATTTTTTAACTTCTATCAAGGAAATTTGGATCCTGGTGATAAGAATGTTTTACACAATACTAAAACTGACAAAAATTACAACAGGATTTACAATATTCATTATTCTGCTATCTTACATAGCTTCCGAAATATACGTCCTCACAATTCGCTAATTTCGAAAAAACAATTTTGGCCTCCATGGTTATCTTTGTTTTACTACCTAACTATTCATTATAAAGGGATTGCACAATCAATATTATTGAAGCAATATAACTAAAGGCAATGTATTGAAAGCCCATCTGTCAATGACACCTCATACCTGTCAATTATCATCATCATCTTCTACTTCCTCTTTACCCCTTAAACGGTGTGAGGTTGCTTTTTATAGAGCTTGGACTAGGCTGACCTCTCCTGTACCAGCTCTCGTCACATGTCCCATTCCATCTCTCGATCTTGGAACGCATTATACAGGCTTTCTTTTCAGGAGTTTCAGTGAATTCCTCACGGTCTTCTATCCTGCACATAAGTCTAATAGATTGCGACTTGCGACTCTGCATACAAAGAAGGTGGCAAAAACATTTTAATTGGCTTTCTTCTAGAATGGTTTCCGCTGGCGTGACCTCGAGGTTGGCATGGATGATAGTGTTGCGAATCCTGTCTCGCCCAATCTCCCTCTCCACATTTTGCATGCATCGTATCTCCAGAGACTAGATTTGACTATTATGCTTTGAAGTGAGTGTCCAAGACACAGAAGAATATATTAGAATAGGAAGAAACACCGATATATATACTGCCATATTAGTTTTCTTTATAGCCTTTCTTCGGTTTAGGAATCCTCTCCTCACCGAGCAGAACATCTTTTCTGCTGTCCGTATTTTCTGCCTCACATTCTCGTCGATATATCCATGTTTGTTGAATTGAATAACCAAGAATTTAAAATTTTCTACCTGCACAAACTCTCACCGTCCACCCTCAATACTCTCATAACCTTGTGAGATTTTCTTCCTATGTGCATGCATTTCATTTTCTTAGGGTTGGTTTCCATATTAATATCTTTCAATTCTCCCTTGAGGGTATTAATATTATTTTGGAGGTCAGGGTAATTCTGGGCCAATATGACGAGTTCGTCATCAAATGCAAAAAGGGAATAAAGAGTAGGCTCGATATTCCTGTGAACCAATGGAAGCTCCGCATCGTCTCATTTGCTCTTCCCAGTGTCAAATCGAGAATCAATTGTATTGAATAAATATTACGTCAGTTGCGATCTTGCTATCTTCAAATAAGTAGTAACTTTCCCTCATTTTTCTGAACACGAATAACAGTTAATTACATATTATTCTTATTTCTTTAGCTACAGTATTAAAACTTAGGTTTATATAATAAAAAATATCACCGGTTTACTGCACAAAATCTCTAAACAAATCTTTAGTATTAGGTCAGAACTATATTAACGTTATTGTTAATCTGGTCATAATAGTTATCATGTTTACCTCCGTACAACAAGTAGTGAGAAACATAAACAAAAATTAATTCCAAAGTGTCTCAAGTCAATGTTGGTAGCTATGGTTTGTTAATTATCGATGTAGACATCTCAATGAAGATCTTCGAATAATTTTCAAAGAATTTTAAGGAATCGAAAAATTTGCAGAGGAGCAAATGCACAGAATTAGCCTGGAAATTCCAAAATTACCTAAAGTTTGAAACGGTTCCTGATGAGAAAATAAATGTTTTTTTTTGCTTAATCTACGCGTATATCTATCCCCCTACAAATGAAAAAGCTGTTAAACAGAAATAAAGAAAGATTTTTTAACAATTTAGTGAAAACTAAGATTACTGGTTAGCCAATTCAACTTTTTCTACACATTTTTCAAACTTCAGTTATATTCAAAAGCTCACATTTTATTTTAGAGCTCTGAAAATCTGACCCTGGATAACTTAGACTTGTAGCTTTGGATAAGTATTGGTAGTTTTATTCTAGAGAAGAACGTAAGAAATAATATTATATCAACTTTTTTACCATTTGGGACCACTGTGCGTAGCTACGGACATGCGGATCCATCTTGGCACCCGAAACTGAAGAGCAATTGCAACCAAACGAGCCAATTGGCAGAGGCTTTTAAAGGAGGCTCAGATTCGGTGAGGGATCGTAGCGCTCATTATGATGATGGTGATATATACTGTGTGATTCACTCTCAATGAACGATTATCATGATATAAATGTAATGCGATATTTTGTTTAATCTTTTACTTATAACTTGGACAGGATTAAAAAACTAGTCCCCATGTTCAACTTTATTCTCCTTTTCTAAGCTCTGCCGATATTAACTGATCAATTTATAATTTTTGATGATAACTATAATAATAGATGTATTTACTTCGGTGTATTTTTTAGATATTGGTACCACTCAAGATCTATTAAACTACCACAAATTTTATTGACCTTTTATAGGCACTACTGATACAACTTATTTAATTGTAAACCAAAGAGTTACCTCTTTCTCTTACCTCCATGATGTAAACATTGAAGGTTACAATACATGTTACTAGAATTATTTATGTGACAAGAATGGAGGAACCTACAGAACGAAAGAATTGCAGAAAACATAGAAGAAATAGTGATAAAACTGAATATAAATCGAAAAGTGATAAAGAGCTTTCAGGTAGGGAAAGTAAACGCAGAAGAAATCATGATTATGATAAATCTAGCTATCATTCATCAGGAGAAAGAAGGTATGATTCAGAACATAGAAGGTATGAAAAATTGAAAAGATATTGGGATAAAGACACAGGCAAGGATCGTCATGACAAAGATGTTAAAGCTGATTATCTAGTTGGTTCAAGATATTATAATGAGACCCCCAAACATTCTCTAATTAAAAGTTCAGAGGGTCCTACTAAAAGTAAGGAAAATGTAAACCCACTTGAGAGTACTCGTAAAGAAAACCAAGTGACCAGGAAAAAGAATGATGACATCATTACATCCAGAACTGGCGGTGCTTACATACCACCCGGAAAACTGAAATTAATGCAAGCCAGTATCACTGATAAATCAAGGTAAAAATTTTGTGTTTTCTTTTATTAATTATTACTTGAAATAATTTAGAATAAGTTTGAATGTATAAGATGCTTTGTTAACTTATTATTATGGGATTGGATATTAGCCAGAACCATAGAGAGAAATCTGGAGCTCCAGAGATAAATCTTCCTAGGATTCCATAAATATAAACTTCAACCACTTCAACTAAATATAAAATGAAAGTCTTTTATAATAGATACATAAAGAAATTGCATAATTATTTTATAATATAAGTAACGATAGGCATATAGAACATAATGCAATAAAACGTTATTGAAATTCACTCTACAGACTCTCGTTGGGCCAGTTATAGCTCTTATCACAATAATGCTTCTACTATATAATTTTTTCAATTGTTATCTATGATTGATGAGAGTAAAAGATAGCTTTGTGAGTAAAAGGCACTGCGCTCATATCTCCATTTTGAGTGTGGCTGTGGCAGATAAATAATTTTTCTCCTATGTCCTGGGGTCCGGAGACTCCTTGAAGTATAACCAGCTTCTGTAAAGTTAGTACCTTTTTATTTTATTTGTTCTTTCCTTCCTCCTCTTTTAGGCTATATGGGGTTTTCCTGGACCAGAGAGTGAGGGCAGAGGGTTTAATACCAGATTTAATAGCCTCTCCTCCTCCCGGGTACCTGGACGTGAACTCGTAATTATTTTATCATCTCTAACTTCGGTTATCAGGTTGCCGGACAACGTTAGCCCACTCGGCCACCTCTGCCATTGTGGAAGTTTTATTTTCTCTTTCTTGGACATAATTAAATGTTTTGATTTATGGAGAGACTAGTGATATTTATGGTTTATTTTAACTATTACTTTGAAAAGACTTATTAATGTATTATAAACTTATAACATTATGCCTAGGTTATTTATTCCTCTTTCACCTTTATTCCTTTATTATATACAATGGTATTTGGCAAAATTATTCACATAAACCAATTACATTTGTATTTGTTACTTGCATTTGCCCACTTATACTGATTGATATTGTTTAGAAACTGATTGATGTTGTTTTTTTTATTAAGACATTTTTTTATTTGATTGAGATAATTGTTTTAAATAATAGATAACAGATGATTCAGATAATATGAAAATAATAAATAAATCTTCAATAGTCAATAATAAAATTATCAATAGTCTTGGATCCCTTCATAGATGAAGCTTAAGATGCTGCTTTTGAATATTTGCCGAGCATGTTATCAGCCTTAGTCATCGCCCAAGTTTCAGACCCATATATGAGGACAGGATGTAGTAATATCTTGTAGAGGACCAGATTTGTATCTAATAATGAGGTTGCTCCTCTGTTAAGGCCTTAAGCTAAAAAAATATTTATTAGCGGCAGGGATCCTGCTCTTTATTATGGCATTAATATCATTGTCAGAGTTCAACTGTGTTTCCTAGGTAGGTGAACTCATTTAGAATAGAATAGAAAATAATTTTATTCTGGGACGAAGTCCCTTCAGAATAACAAAAAAGTACAGAAATTAAAATTTATATCTGGCCAGATAAAAACAAACATAAAAAGTAAAGATAAAGATAAATCAGTAAAAAAAAAAAAAAGTATTCGTTATACATAATATATACAAAATAAAATAAAATAATCTTGTTTCTGTTGAAAAAAAAATATAAAATAAAAAAAAAAAATATGTAATTTTACATAAAAGGTTAGCTGGTATCTGACTGTTTTTGGAACAGGAATTGGAATACGAGGGTTTTGAATGTAGCTAGGGATAAAGAATGTTGGATTTTGATAGGAAGGGAATTCCAAAAATTAACAGAGCGAGCAATAAAGGAGTTTTGGAACGAGGCAGATGTGAGAAGGAATGTAAAGGTCGGAAGGTCCAGATCTTGTAGAGAGGGAGTGGATTGAGGACTTGAATTGGAGAAGATTGTAGGCGTAGGAAGGACGATGATTGTTGATGATATGATAGAGGAATGTACCTAGGAAATATTGTCTTCGAATGGAGGGGAAGAGCCACTCTAATTCAGTGTAGTGGTGAGAGACATGGTAGTATCTCGGCTCACCAATTACAAATCTCACGCAACTGTTCATTAATCTTTTCATTCTGTCGCGGAGCTCCACCGAGAGTCCATCATACACCACACAGCTGTAGTCAAAGTGGGGGAAGATGAGAGAGGAAACGAGGAGTCTAGGCGTATGTTGCGGTAGGAGATGGCGGAAGCGATGGAATAGTTTGAGGGTAGAAATTGTCCGTCGGTAGATGTGAGAAATATGGTGATTCCAGGAGAGGGTTTCATCAATAAATAGTCCTAAATGTTTTACAGAGGAGTAGAAGGAGATTGGCTGGTCACCAAGGTTTAGTATGGGAAAGTCTGTATAGGATCTAAGGAGGGGCTTGGAACCAATGACAATGGCCTGAGTTTTTGAAGCATTTAACCTTAATCCGTTTAAGTTTGCCCAGGCACAGATTCGATCTAGGTCTGCTTGGATCTTAATAAATGCCACCAATAGCTCAGGGGGAGAAAAGGATAGGTATATTTGAGAATCGTCTGCATAAAGGTGGTGGGAACAATGGATAATTGAGTCATGGAGGTCATTAATATAGGAACTAAAAAGGAGAGGAGATATGCTAGATCCTTGGGCAACTCCAGAGGATAAAGGCAGGTAGGCAGATAGTGGTTGATTAGGAATGGAGACTGCTTGGGTGCGTTGTGAGAAAAAAGATTGGAACCAAGAGATGGAGCTATTGGAGAAGGAAAGTGATTTTAGTTTGTTGAAAAGGATGGGATGGTTAATGGAGTCGAAGGCTTTTGAGAAGTCAAGAAGTATAAGGACAGTTAATTGTTTATTATCTATTGCAGTCTGAACATCATTGGTAATTTTGATTAAGGCGGATTGTGTGGAGTAGCCGGGACGGAAACCAGATTGGAGAGGATCAAGTTGGTTGGACTTTTCAAGGAAATTGGAAACTTGAGATTGCACCAATCTTTCTAGGGGTTTTGAGAGATTGGAAAGAATTGAGATTGGGCGAAAGTCTTCGGGAGAGGATGGATTAGGCTTTTTATTTAAAAGGAGTACAATGAAGGAAATGTTGAGTTCTGTAGGGAGAAATTGTAGATGAAAAGGAGAACTGGGAGGATTTCGGAGAGACATAATTTTATCAATTTGACAGGAATGCCATCTGGTCCTATGGAATTGGTGTGGGATTTCATTACTGCGGTTAGTAAATCAGTCGGGGAAATGTCGGAGAAATAAAAGTCATCATCATTAAATGATGACTCAGGAGCAAAGTTGGAAGAGAAGAGGTAGAGGAGGCAGAAATAAAATGTGAATTTAAATCATCAGGTGAAACGGAAGAGACCAGTGAGGAAGGGGATCTGGAAGGTTCACAGAGGGAAAGTTTGCGAAGGATTAGCCATTTAGATTTGGGATCTGGGGCAGATGAAAGGGCTTCATGGAAGTAGAAAGCTTTAGTTCGCCGAATTCTTGTTTTTGTCAAATTGCGGAACACCTTAAACGCTTGATAGTTGATAGTAGCTTGATCAACTTTCTCAAATGAGAATTTGCCAAACAATATTCTCTCCCTGGACTCTTTGCTGGCTAGTAACTATATACTTGGTTTTACCTCGTTTACAATTAATCTTAATTTCTTGCATTGGGTTCGAGCTCAAGAAATGCTTCCTCTACAACTTCTCTAGACCTACCAACTGTGTCCAGATCATCAGCTATCCCCAGGATTTAGAATCTTATTTCTTAATTATATTTGGACTTGATCCATATTCGAGCAAATATGGTAATTTCTACGTTTTAATAACTTCCAATAATAAGTATCTCTGTTGTGATCCTCATCCTGTAATTCAATGACCTCTTAAAATTGGTCCATCTACTATCTTTATGCAAAGATATATAAATGGTCTCATATCAAAGACGGATATCTCTCATTTTTAAAAAGTTAAGAAAAAGACAATTTTTGTAAGTAGCTTGATTGGGGGAATAAAAATGAATACGTATAGAGAAATTATTCTATTCGAAATCGTGAAAAGTTAATTTCAAGCCATTAGACTAAAACCTTAGAATTTCTCCTTCAGAAAAGCTTGATATATCTTGGATAAGTACATACAATTTATAGAGAAGTGTTTGATTGATGAATAAATTTATACAATTTATGCTTTAAAATTTCACTAGATTTTCATAAATGAGGTGATTTGTATTGGATGGTATGTTATGAAGTATAATAATTAAAATAAAATAATAATAAATCATTTGATAATGATCTCTCATTAGACTGGTATTAAAATATTGTTTACTAGGAGGTAGATAAACTTGACCTTGTTATTGTTGCATGTATTTACAATTACTGCTCCTACAACAATAATAAACATTGAAAATCTTTCATTCATGTGAGCGAATTGGTGGCTGTTTTATATTAAATTTAATTTTTTTAAACATCAAATGCTCATTAATTAAGCACGTAATTCGTAACTTCTTAATTTTGAATTTTTTTTTTATTCAGCCTTATCTGGTATTCAATTTAATGGTATTTGCAACTACTATTCTAATGTTTATTAATGTAAATGATCTTAATAGAGATTAATTTTCTCTCTTAACTTACGGCGATAATTTCTACCTAGACTATGGAAATTGCTTTCATCTGCTTTTATTTCAGTATATATGTCAATGTGTTCTCTCATGTTTTTACAAACTGTTAATTGTTTGTATGTTTATTATTATATTTTATTTACTTGTCATATAATTCATATTATTAAGGCATTTATCTAATTATCCTACTATATTACTACATTTCATAATGTTAAAGGAAGAGAAAACAAAAGAAAAGTATGATGTAATAAAATAACAGCTATAAAATACTATTTGAGCTAAATACTAATTTTATGAGTTTAGCATAAACAAGTTAAGACTTTTTTAATTTCTAATTTTTTTTTTTGTTACATCAGTAACAAAAAATCATTTTAACTATTATATTTTATTCTTTATCAATCAAGTATGGAGTGTTAGTTACAGTTTCTTTGGTAGTTTTTTAGTAAAAGAGACATCAATCTTATTCTCAGAGACTTAAGTAAATTGTTATTTCTCAATTATTTGATAATTATTAATGGTTTGGATCATATTCTCATATATATATATATATATGATGTTTAGGCTTAGTGAAGGCATGACCTGGGCCTCGCCGTACTCTTTTTTTTTTTCTTCTTATATATATAACTATGACATTACTCTCTGATTATCGTTTTGTTTTGCTTTTCATTTATTTATATCCAATTATTATTTTAATTTAATCCATATTTATTTTCAATATTTAAAACATTCTCTAATCCAAGTCATCTCAATGTTAATTGTGTCTCTATTCGCTGCAGAGGTTGGCAATCAATTAGGTCTGTTTTTTCGAGATATAATTACTTGAAATAAGCTTGTGCCTGTGGGATGAGGGAGTCGACCTGGCCGAGAATCTGGCTCCATTCTTGAGTCACTTGAGTGACCTAGCAGGAATCTTTAAGGGCGATGATGGGGTGCTGAGGGTGGCAGATATAAGCATTTATCTCTTTAATTAATGAATCTTTAACAGCTCACATAGACGAGGTTAGATTGATTTTTCAGCAGATGGAGTTGGATGTGCTAGTCGTCAGTGAGTCTGGGCTCATTCCTACATTACTCTGTAATAGTGTGGGTATCAATGGCTATAGGAACAATAGAGTTGGAAGTCTAGAAAAAGAGTCGCAGTGTATGTAACAAATGAGTACGCTGTTGCTGAGCTCGAGGCTTTGGTGTATGAAGAAAATCACCCTGAGTTTCTATTTCTTGAGGTTCGGGCACCTAGTGGATTTATCTGCATCAGATCAGTCAACCTGCCCCCTCCCCCAAAGGGTGGATATTTCTCTGACATTAATGATTTCCTCTTGCGTTACTGAGATAAGTATCTCAGCATCATACTGCTCGGGGATCTAAGTACCGACCCTTCAACTGGCTCATTCAATTCAGGCCAAATGACTACTGTGTTTAAAACGTTAAATTTACATATACTCCCTTTTAAAGCTACTAACTACACTCATGCCGTTGCAGTAAATTCTGAAACTTGGATAGACCACATCGTAGTGTCTGACATCTCTAAAGTCAGCCGCAATGGAAAAGTTCATGTTTCAGGGATTTCGACGCATGATTTCATTTTTTTTTCTGTTTAAAAAGGGCACATCATTAAGTAGAATTTCTCAGGATATAAGTAGAAATTTAAAAAAAGTGGATTCTGTGGGTTTTAAAATAGATACACAAAATTATACTGGTCCGAGGTATATGACAGCACTGATGTTGATGAAAAGGTAAAAGTATACACCAAGAAAATAATTGAGGTGTTCGATAAACATACACCTCTTAAGACATTTCGACGGTTTAGAATGAAGCCCTTTCTCTGGATGTCTGAATGTATTAAGTCTCTTATGGTTAGAAAAGATGTCTTCTTTTGGATGTCCCAAATAGTGGTTCTTTAGATGATGTAAAACAGTACTGACAGTAAGAAAATAAAGTAAAGAATGCTATACGGGATACCAAGAGGAAGTGTATATCAGAGAATCTCAGTAAATGTGCCCCAGTGAAGTACAGAAAGAACTGAGGAACCATAGGGTAATTAATTTCAAGAGATGGGGATGTTTAACTTTAAATTTTATTTTATTTTTTTCGTTTAGCGCTGTAACCTCATCAATAATCTCTGTTTTCATTTTTTTTTCTTTTCTTTCTTTCTTCTTACTATCTTATTTTGTTTGTCAATTGTATACATACTAAGAACCATATCATATTAATTTACTAACATTAAAAATAAATTGTAAAATACATTATAATTAAGGTAAAATGTATATTGAAATGAAAATTGTATAATTCAAAATGTTATATTTTTGTTGGTAAGAAAGAGCCTTAGGTCCTAAAACAATAAACAATCAATCAATCTTACTGAATATTATTTTAAACTTAAGTTAAATTGTAATGTAATACATAATAATCGTCTTATCTATATTACAGTGCTGAATATCAACGTATAGCTTGGGAAGCATTGAAGAAATCAATTCATGGTCATATAAATAAAGTCAATACTTCCAATATTGGTGTAGTTGCCAGATTATTATTCAAGGAGAATATAATTCGTGGTAGAGGCCTCCTTTGCAGATCAATTATACAAGCTCAGTCTGCTTCTATAACATTTACTAATGTGTATGCTTGTCTGGTGGCTATAATTAATTCTAAGGTAAGTAATTTACTTATAAACATAATTAATACTACATAAACATAGACACTTTATCATAGATATTTGAATTCTAACTGTGGACAAGATCCTAAAGACACTTTTGATTTCACTAACCTGTATAGGAAATATGTTATAAGGGAAAGTATTATGATTATAAGAAATTTTGAATCTGAGTTTAAAACAAAAAACCACATTTTAAGATCTTCCCTTTCTATTTTTTCTCCTCGACCCAGGACTCCTTTTGTTTAACTTTGTTATTGTTTTTTTCACAACAATCAGTCATTGGGCACATGTGCAATTTGCGTAATGCTGTCTTTCAATTTTTTCTTGGCAGTCTGTTAGAGGCCTTCTGCATAGGCCCTTGCCCACCTCTTTGCAGAGTTCCATTCAGCATTGCCATTTGCTCTACTTGATTGCCTGTCAGAGCTCCCGCCTCTTGATTTTTATTCGTGCTTGGAAGTGGACGATAACTCTTGCTCGCGATGGTATCTCCTCATTGCATGGCACCATTAACGACAGTCAGTGATAAGTTAATGCTCTGAGAATTGATCGATGTCTGATATTGGTGCTAACCACAGACATATCACATGCTTTGCTAACCAGATTTATTACCTGGTACGTCTTATCTTTTGCTATTCCAGACAATCGCTGAGTTCAGAAATTTTGAAAATTCCTTCTTTTAATGTATCTTTAATTTTTATGATTAAGATTTCCTTGGTTTGTATTTTCTTAACTATTAATATTTTCTAAAAATCTTGAATTTCAGTCAATAAATAAACAACTATGTTTTGATGACAATTTGAGGCATGATTGTTTTCATATTAAGCCCTACAATGAAAAATCATAATAATAATAATATGCATATAACAGTTATTGCAAATTAAAATTACACACAAAAATCTAAAGAAAGTATATAATTTTATTTTTAAAATTAAAAAACAATTTTTATTTCAAAATATAAATCTTTACATTATATTTGAATTTGTTTATTTTTACAGTTCCCAAACATAGGAGAACTCTTACTGAAGAGGGTTATCATTCGATTCAAAAGAGCTTATAAAAGAAATGATAAAGCAGTTTGTATTTCTTCAGCTACATTTATAGCACATCTTATCAACCAGGGTGTTGTAAGTTATTAATATAATTTCTTATTTTGTAATGCATTGTATTAGCAGTATTTTTCCTATGATTCATATTTTCTATTTATGTTTATGGTCCTGTGCATGTGCTAATTTCTTACAAACCACCTGTTAGTTCGTCTCCCACAAGTGATCAAATTACTAGTGAATTAGTGAACGATAGTGATTAGAAACAGTGATATTTGAACAATTAACAATTTGTTCATTAAATGAACAGTAATCACTTGTTTATCAAATTTATTCAACAGTGTTAACAACAATGGATTTAGGTGAACAGGTTATCTATCTACCATTTCTATAAGTACTTAACCCCCCCTCAGCTAGCAGCCAGTAGTCGGCGGCCTGAGGAGGGGGGGGGGGGTGCATGTCACTTGGTCCTCCGTCGGTCTACGTAATTTTTTATACATTAAACTATTTTACTTTTTCAGCCTGGTCTTCATAAGTGTGCTTAGGTAATAACAGCTCTCAAAGCTCACATGTAAAACAAAGACCAAGGCCCTCCAATACAAAAATAACACTCAACACCTTACATACTGACTGAAACCATTAATGATCCACAACTTCAACACAAACAACAGACAAATCTCCATTTTTCAACACCAACCCATACCAGCTATTATCATCAGAAGATACAATGGAAGCAGCACCAATTCCCAGAGAAAGAAAACCACCTCCAATATTTGTCAGAAATATTAAAAAATTTCCTTTATTCTGCCAGCATCTCAATAAATTGTCTTCTTATTTATTTATTTTTTTTAATTAGGAAGCCTACGTTTATAATTTTTTCATATTTAAGGCAATAATACTTCCAATTTTCTTCAAATTCTTTTAATTACATTTGTTATCTCTAACGTTTCGGGACAATTTTCTCATCATCAGAGCAATCTTTATCTCCACTTTCTTTTTTTGACAAATGGTGCCACATCAAGAAAATAAAGTGGAGATAAAGATTGCTCTGATGATGGGAAAAATTGTCCCGAAACGTTAGAGATAACAAATGTAATTAAAAGAATTTGAAGAAAGTTGGAAGTATTATTTCCTTAAATATGAAAAAACTCAATAAATTAATCGATAACAGTGAATTTGCATGCCGTAGTAGAACAAATGACACCAAACTACTGTTGGATTCTCTGAATACATATAGAAAAATTGTTAAATACGTGACAGAGTCAAAGGCTGAATTTCTCACGTTCCAGTTATATGAAGAGAGAGCACTGAGAGTAGTGATAAGAGGTCTCTATCTTTCAACTCCACTTGATGAAATCAAAGAATAATTGATGGATTTAGGTTTCAATGTCTGCCAAATTGTAAACATTTATAAAGAAAATAAAGAGCAACCGGGCACAAGTCCTTCATACAATATTCAATGTCCTTAGTATGTTACAAACAATACTCTACATCATGACATTAACATCCCTTATATTCTTGACGTTATTCCATCCCCCGATTCTGAAATTTTCATCAGAATCTAATCGACCATCCTAACCTCTTAGTACAATCCTTATCCAGCTCCAAAATCTTACAATCCTTATCCTTATCCCTACAATCCTCTTTAAAAGTTTTATGGCCTCGAGACCTCTTGTAAATACGTCACTGTAGTTCTGGCAATGGCCAGCTTCTCCACTCAAGTCATAAGCGTTTGTGGCTTTAGTGCTCTCTGTGTTGTGGCTGAGATTGAGAGAAGCACTTGGAGCTCCCTCACCTGACTGTAAATGTTTTAAATAAGTATAAATGTGTTTTTATATTTTTATTTAATGTTGTCTCAAGTTACATTTCTTTTAGCCCAGTAATCTTGTCATGAAAAGAGGTCTAAGTTGTATCGAATGATGTTTTTTTTTTTTCTCTTTTATAGGATATGACTCAGATGTAAAATCCAAGTTTTCGACCTCGGTGCCCTACCTGAATCACTTTTTAAAATTCTGAAACTGCTATATTTTCGGTTTTCCCCATGTTGACCAAGAAAGAGCATGTTTTCGACAAAAAACATTCTATACAGTTTTAAACTAAATTAAATATGCTACAATTTAAGACCAAAACAGTTTCGTTAAGTTTAATAACTTTTGAGATACAGACTTTCAAAGTTTTGAAAATTGTAAGCTATTAAACCTGTTTGATCATATGCACTTGTCTTTATATCTTCAATGACCTGTCTTAAGTGAAGTAAATGTTTATTCATTTTAGCATTTCGAACCAGGGTTAAGGGAGGAGGGAAGGTTTGGAGGGAGAGGGAGACATAACTTTTCACAACCAGAAGACTGAAATTGAAATAAAAAAATTATTTAAGCAATATTTATATCTAGTCCATACAAAAATTGTAAATGAAATGAATGACATTTTCGAAACTTGAAAATGTTAAGCTAATTTCATGTTTATGCCTTCAATAACCTGCCTTATAAGAGTTAGTGAAGTAAACATTTATTTAAGCTATTATTTTGAAGGAGTAAAATATATGGATATAGGAATGACTATAAATAATTGATAAAATAACTAAGTCATTTATTCCATTCGATCTTTTTCGTAGGCACCTATGCCAGTGCCGCTTTTCCATTGGTCAAGTGCATTTTCTAACGAACTGTTTCAAATATGTTAAAAATTAATCAGTGATTTAGAAAATTAATGCATTCTTTAGATGTTTTATTTTAAGGCATTTTTCATTATTGTTAGCCGTTTAATTACAAATGATGCTTGATTTTCAACTTTAGTTTGAACGACTTGAAACAATTGACTTTACTGATATTTTTTATTACCAAGGCCAATTTTTTTTTTTTTTTATGCTTTATTATATTCAGACTATCCAGATTTAATAAAAGACCAATTATGATGGTGTTAAGCTAACTGCTGAATCTCGGAAACCAATCATTTTGTAGTTAATTTGCTTTCATGTATAATAAATAAATTTAGTTATAAATTATAAATTTTTAATAGTTGGGTCTCCATACATATTGGTCTGAGAAAACTATCATTAAGTAGGGAAATGTCAGGGAATTTTACTTCATCAGTCTTGTAGTGACCCTGGAAAAAATTGGTCGGGGGTGATATCAAATTATATACTATATTATTACTTATTATTATAATGTACATTATCCAATAAAATACTATTATAGTATATAGTATTTAATTTGACCACACCCCCGACCAACTCCTTCTCAAATTATAATCATGGTTAACCATCTCCACACTAATATTAACATAGTTGGATTTGAAAAACAAATAAAACCAATCAGTGTATTACAATTTCTGAAGAAAATTAAATCAGACAATTTCTATGACAAGCTATTAGTTAAGGATCTTAATACATTTTGACAGTGCTATTCATGCTCTAAATAATTATTTTTTTGTAGGCTCATGAAATTCTCGGACTGGAATTGGTTACTTTATTAGTAGAAAACCCTACAGATGATTCAATTGAGGTTGCAGTAGCGTTTTTAAAAGAAGCAGGCCAGAAATTAAGTGAAGTAACAAGCAAAGGCACTAATGCTATATTTGATATGTTAAGAAATATTCTTCATGAAGGAAAGTTGGAGAAAAGGGTAAGAAATACATTTTCATATAAACAGTTTATGCTAAACTCTATGCTAATTCCATCAATGAACATTTCAATCAATCGATTCCAGCAGCAATGGACTGAGTTTCAAAACAACCTGCTGGATTTAAGTAAAAAGTTGACACTCCTAGAAAGTAACAAAACACTTGTAAAATAAATAAAATGATGACAACCTACCTACTGAATAGTTGAATTAAAAATAAAACTAAATTTTAGAAACCTTAATTATGTATCTATCATAGATATTTGGGACAGTTTTATGAGGCACTCTGTATGAGACGAAAGTGAAGAGAGACATTTTTGTGTGAAATATCAGCTGGTAAGAGAATGATTCCTATAGGATATATCTATAAGATATGACTCTTACATACAGCCATCTATTCTAGCTCACCTGTTAGAAGAGGCCAGCAGGTATAAAGTATATTTGGTTGACAGTTGAGTATAATGCTGGAAGAACGAACATCTAGTCTTACAACTAGTCTAAGAACAACGGTCATCTAGTCTTATTACTAAATAAGTAATTAGTGTACCCTGCTCGAAAATATTCATTCTTTTATTAATTTGAATTGGAAAATGTTTCTTCTTTCTTTATTCATATTGAAATAGTACTGTATTCATTGAGACCTAATGGATTGGTGGAAAAGTGCCTTGATTTGTAGTTCTCTCACTACTAAAGAATGGAATAGTTACAGGTGAGGTCATTTAAAAAAAAAAAACCAATGGTAGACTTATTCAATACTTTGGACAGGGACCATCTAGGAACAGCTTAGGATGTTTCTGTTTCCTAGTGTTTTCCCAATTGTTTTTCAGAGCTCTGTCCCTGCTCCTGCCTTGTGGAAGCTAGTCTTCAATGAAATTCTATGAGTCCTTGAGGAAGAATGGTTCTACGCCATTGATTTTATAGACAACTTGGTCATCATAGAGATCTCCAGCAGCAGATTATTACTGAAGGAAGAAGCAAAACAGTATGCATACTAAGCCTATTTGGAGGATGGTGAAAGAGGAAGAAGGGTGGCGATTGATGATAGAATATGCTGCAGAATGGATGACAGCAATCCGGAGAATTATATCAAGCAGCCTCAAGATTTTAACATTTTTTGTAGACTCTTTGGTACTCCATGATCCTATACTGACACCATATACCAGAAAATTTCACCAACTCCTACTTGAGAACCATGTATCGAGCTTATATTTTTTTTTTCTTAACTTTAACAGATTTAATTTTCTTATATTTTTCTCCGTAGAATCTTTTTTGTACCTTTTCAGAGTACAAAGATGTGGTCCTTGAGTCTGCCTTCTGTGATGGAAGCCTGCCTGTTCCAATGATCATTTTTAAATATAACATACCACTGCCTCAATCCGCCTTCATTTATCATACGTCTATATACCCCCATTTACGTCTATATACGTTAAAGAGTTGCCATTTTTTTTTTTTTTTTTTTTTTTTTTTTTTTTTTTTTTTTGGCCCAATAGAAATCTAATCTCTGCACTCACAAGTAATGGTAAAGTAAATGGTACCCCTGTCCACTGTAATACTAAGCTAAAAGATAAATTACTTTCTGGACATCCCAATTAGTTCTTTTAATTGGTGAGATAAGTATTCATCTATGAGTATTCATCTGTGAGATAAATTAACATTTGTTGTTAATTTTTTTTCATATCTTTAAAGGATTAAAATACTATTAATTAGTAACTTATAGATTATATCTTTTTTTTCTTTTTTTTTTTTTGTAGGTACAATACATGATTGAAGTTATGTTTCAAGTTAGGAAAGATGATTTTGCTACTTTTCCAGCAGTACCAGAAGAGCTGGATCTTGTAGATGAAGAAAATCAGTTCACTCACTTAATTGGACTTGATGATGCAATAGATACCCAAGATATACTAAGTAAACTTTCAAATATGAATTTTGATTTATTTTTGGTGTTAGTTCATATCTGTACATTAGTGAATTGTATTTGTGTACTTTTTAAAAAAAATATTTGTCTGCTCAGTGACTTTTATTACATTTGGAGAAAAACAATCCAACAATAATATTAAACACACACACTCAAAATAAAAACTGGTATTGATGTTACCTCTTGAATGGGTGGTTACTCGGGTTAAATTGCTTTCCAAAGGTTTAAAGATAGGCTAAAATAAAAAATATTGAAAACTTTCATTCACTTTTCTTTTTTTATATCATGAATTGATAATCGGTTTTATAAGTGGGATAAACTAAAAAAGAGTAAAAAGTTTCCAAAATGCAATGTTTCCCGTAATGCAAAAAGACATCTGTTGTCTGCTGTGCTTCTTGCTTTTATTTTCACTGTGATGCCATATTTTCCTGTCACTAATGCTCCTAGGTATTTGAAACTACCAACTTTCTTAAAATCATACTATCCTGTTCCTCACTTTTTGAGGATATCATGTATTGGGTTTTTCCTCATTTATCTTAGACCCAATTTTTTCTCAGCACCTTCCAGTTTTCTGATATCAAGTTCTACTCCCACTTCCTTGCAGTGATTGCTGGGCATACTCACCATGGTGGACATTGGTCAACGGGAGATGGCATTGGTGAGCTTTTGGCATCTTAAAACTGGAACCTTCAACTATGGAAACCACCAGTCCTTCAGATAGGGGGTTGAACACAGGGCCAACTTTCCTGTCCCTTAAAATCTCCACCTGTTTTTAAGAAAACACACAAAACCTCAGATAGAAGTGGATTAAATGGGAACATAGGCTTGGACACAGACAAATTGATATATTATAACCTAAAAAAACATGCAGAGCAAAAACAGGAAACAATATTATAAAAAAATTATTAAATTTCATAAAATATTCTTTTCTCAGCATCAAATATTTTTCGACTTAGTATCATCAAAAAAAGTTTCATTGGAATTGGTGATCCCATCCATGATCCCTCTACTATGAGCATAACTTGTATTTATGATAAAATTGGCAACTGCCTGATTTGGAAGAATGTGAGGAGGGCACCTGGTAAAATTTTGCCCCAAGTGCCTAAAACTTAGATGACAGCTCTGTTTGTAATATGTATTATGACTCCATGTAATTTATTATTTTTTGACTTTCACTTACCTATATATGTAATATATAGTAAAAGAAAGTATTGCAATCCTGAAATTTTTTAAATCTTGGTTTTCAACCTAAGTTCCACAAAATGGTGTGTGTAATATTCCACAGGGGAGGGGCTTCGTATCAGACCACCATTATGCATTACTTCATGGAGGAGGAGTGGCTGTGTGCCGCCTTATTTCCTCAGGCTAACTCCTAGTTCGCCTTTTCCTCACTCCCCAGTCTCTTTATGGCGTTGTCCAGCCATCCAGCACACTTAGGAGAGCAGCATCACTCTGACGAGATTATCAGCTGTTGGTTCTGGTTCCGCAGGTTTCTCGAAATTCTTCTCTTTCTTTCTGGAAGCGGGGGCAGAAGAAGAATACATGTCCTGCATCTCGCTTCTATAGGTTTGCACCCTGGGCACTCTGCTGTATTGCCCACCATAAACCTATACTGGTAGGTTCAAAAGCATCCATGTCCAGTTAAGGAGCTGAGTAAGGTATTGGTCCACCTTCCCGTGCTCCCTGTCTATCTAGGATTGGATACAAGGAATCAGTATGTGTGTCCATCTTTCATTCAATGCTATATCCCAGCGTTGTTACCATTTCTCTATCCTCTCCTTTCTTTCTTCGACCCTGGGAATACGATCAACTCTATTGTAAGAGCGCATCTTCTTCTGACAGTTCACAGTATGTCTCCATCATGACTTGGAGTTCATCCTTGTCAAACGTCTTAGTTTTCCAATGAATCACTTGCCTGTCTTCCCTATCACTTCTTCTTGGTGCCAAGTCCCCAAGGTGATGATGATAGCCTGGTGGTCAATGTGGGTGTAGGTTGCAGACTTGCCAACTGGTATTTGGGAGAAGGATGTCACCAAGAAATGTCAAATCAATTATGAAACATCTGTCTCCTTTCACAAATGTAGTCTCTGTCCCTGTGTTTGCCAGTACTAGGTCCTTCAACTTTGCATAGGTTTCTAGTAGGATTTATCCTCGTCGGTTGGTTGATTGACTATCCCGCTCTATCACACAGGCATTGAAATCTCCAGCAATCACAATCGCCCTCTTGCCTCATCAGCTATGCGATCCAGGAAATCTGTGAATTCCTCAATTGTGATGCGTGGTAGAGCATAGCAAATTGTGATGCGCGGTGGAGCATAGCAGCTGTACAGGTACGCCTTTTATTCTTGCCCAAACAAACCCACTTGCAGGGGCTTGTGCCATTTCCTGTATGGGATGTTGGCCACATCTCCAAATTGCAGCTCTTTCTGCTGTATCAGATACTCAGGAATTTCCCAGGTTTTTGTACTGTTCATTCAGTATGGCCACGTCAACCCTTAGTTCCTTAACAGTGTGGCAGAGGAGATCCTGTACAGCATCACAATTAATGAGATTAAGTTGTTGGATTCTCATGCGATGTGATTTTGGTTCTCCTTTGTTGTTTTTGCAAGGTTTGTTGTGGGCATTTTCACCCCTACAAGACCATAATACACAGGTAGGGCTCTTGGTACAGTCGGTGGCTAGATGTCCTCACCACATATCTGACAACACTTTGTTCTGTCAGGTCCCTGGCAGTGTCTGACAGGATGCTCAAATGTCCCAACACTGAAACCAGCACTGTAGTAGGACTTTCTCTCGAATACGGCTGACTGACTAACAGTCCAACTCTAACTTTTCCTACAGTGGTTGTCTTCCTGGCCAGTAAGACCGGCTGAGCAATGATTGCAGTCTGCTCTCCAGCATATGCTGAACGGATCGATCTCACTGCATTAGCCTGGATTGTTTCTCCACCTAGTAAAGTGGTGAGAGCATCAGCAATTTCTTCCTTGGTGTAAGGGTTTCTAGGTCTCTAGTTTCAATCAGTGACTCCTCTGTTCAGGCTCTAATTTCAGCCTCTTGTCCTAATGCACCTTCTAGAGTGCGTTTCATGTTGTAGAGGATGCCTCCTGATTTCTGATCTACCTGGATCAACAGATTGCCCGCTTAATTTTTCCGGGCTCTTGTAAATCTTCCACCCAGACCTTTGAGAGATGGATCTTCTCGGACTCCACGGAGTATATCTGCAAAAGTACTTTATTCCGGGATTCTTTCTATTAGAGCATCTGGTCTCGGAGGTTTTCTTCCTTTTTTCCTCTTGGTGACAGTTTACACTGCTCTTCTTTGGGAGTAGTAGTTGCTACTTCTGGTCTCTGGTACTGTTCTGACGCCCATTTGTGCTCTTTGGCTTTCATTTTGTTCTTTGTGGGCTCATTCAAGATGTTGGTGCCACTGACTGCAGGTCCTGCTCCGGTTTCCTTCATCTTGCAGGTGCCTTCGTCTTTACTTTTGAAGCAGCTGTCTCCTGCATGTCCTTCCTTCAATCCTTCCGCTGCTGGTATTGCTGGATTTTGCTGACATAATTTCTTATTTCACCATGGACATTTTGTCTTGGCTGTATGTAGTTTTCTAGCTTCAAAATTTCCTTCACGAGATTTTTCCACTCCTCACATAATTTCTGATTCATATAGTAGTATGAAAATCTGCAGCGTTAGCATGATGACGACGTCTGAGAGCCTGCTAGCTTGTCCCCACTAGATGCCGGTACTGGGGATCCGACCCCCTACACCGTAACCTTTAAAACCTCCTTACCTACCATGGTTGGTTTCCTTGCTTATTTGGGATTTCCTGCCCTCTATATCTAGCGAGTATTCCCTTGTCTGTCCCCTGGGGATATGCCACATATGGATTACAGACTCCCACTGTGGTGTGTGTGTGCGTCAAAAATTAACAGCCATACAAAAATGAAATTCCATATTTATGGTTTTATATGCCAGGGATGTTAAAGCAATTTTTTTGTCAAAATCAGCTAATCAGAAATGGCACTTCATATAATCGATTTAACACATTTTTATGATTTTCTTGAAAACAGCTCTAACAATTTTGATTAAATTTATTATATCAGTGTAATATAGGTTTTATTCTGGTTGATGTTCTCTAACAGAGCTTAAATGGCTAATTTTAATATTAGCTTTCCCTAACGTAACTTTAATTTTTTTTATTCAAAGAAATTAACCATTTCAGATTGATTCCTGATATAAAAAATAGTTAAATATAAAATATGAAAGAATTTGTTAATTAACTAAAAGAGAAATAAGAGATCATAATGGAGAATAGTTGTAATGGAGGAACCACAGGAATATGAGCATGCCCGAGCTCGCCCAAAAGATTAGAACAGGCTTCCATTCGTAACATGAGCTTAATATAATACAGACTCCAACAATATTATGTACATATACATATGCGGTTTTCATAAATTTGTTGGTATTATTTAACATTTAATTGTATAGATTACAGCTATATAAATATTGAAATTTGTATTTATAAGGTTACTTAAACAAATAAAAATACCCACAATGAAATATAAATAAATATTGTGTCTATAATTTTTATTTTCACTTCTCCTTTGTCTGAAAATACTTATTTCTGCTAAGAAGAGGGTGGCAAGTGAAAGTTGTGTGATGTGTGCAGCGTACCTGATTTTTTTTTATTATAGTTTCAGGCTATTGTCATGTAGATAAATATATATATATATTTAAATATACACATTTTAAGATATTAGGTTACGATAGATTTATGTAGGTACATGCAGTTATAAAGGAAGATATTCCTCTAATAGGAATGGTAGCTAGCTGGCCACCTCCACTAAAGTTTGTATGTCATGAGGCCGGGGAAGTACAATTTTCAATCTGAAACCTAACCACTTTGTTACAGTGTAAATAAAATATTTTGACATAAAATTTAATAATGTACCCATTAATATTTTTTCCTTTCATTTTGCAGATGTATTCAAGCTTGATTCCGAATATCAGGCAAATGAGGAACGTTACAAAGAATTGAGAAGTGAAATTCTTGATACTGATTCTGAAGATAGTGGGTCTGAAGGAAGTAGTACTGAAGCAGAAGAGGATTCTGATTCTGAAGATGAAGGTAACAGCCAAGATAGTAAATAATTATAAGTAGATAATGGTAGGGGACATGGTCAGAAATATTTCGAAATTGTGGCAGAATTTACAAAATAGAAATACAAGGAAGGTATTCCTTGTACATTCTCTTGTTTTGTGCTCATTATAGAATTAGTAAATCATCCTTATTTTTTTTAAATATCTATTACACTCCTTCACAAATCTATTATTGGAGAGCACCATCACCTATGTCTTTTAAAAATATTTTTCTCTTCCGCTCCTTGTCCAAACTGGAGGATCTTTATCCTTCAGCCATCTATATGGTTTATTACATATTACCACATAACAATTCTTTAAAAAGCATGATTGGAGTCCCATTGTTGGTTCTTTTCATATTCCAAATTTAAACCTCAAATTTAATTTAATAAAATAAATATAATTGAATTCCTCAATCATAGTCCACTATAAAAACATAAAAGGAAGTTTAGAGAACTTGTTTAGAATGATAGATTAGTAAAGCACCTAGAGTCAGACGAAAATGTGGCCATTTGCTCTCTTTACAAATCTAATCAATTTCTTTGATTTGCATGTAAGAAGGATCTAATAAAAATGCATGTTTAATGCATTCTTATTAGATCCTTACATCAGATCCTTTTAACTTGTCAGCTATCCAAGCTCAGTTACGGTTTGATATCTATTAAAAATTTGCTAAAAAATCCAAAAGATGATATGTTTTGAAAAATAATTGTAACTAGCAATGAAAATTGGATTTAAAAAAAAATCTTATCAACAAAAAAAGGTTTCTAAAACTGCAAGCAAAGAAACATCGATCCCGAGATCGATTTGAAAAAAGATAATACTTTGTCTTTGATGGAATTATGATGGTATTTCGCAGTTTTGGCTGTTTCCAGATCGTAGGATTATAGATGCTGAGCTTTACTGTGAACAAATCAAAAGAAAATATGGAGCTTTAAAATACAATTATCTTGCTTTAGTTAAATGGAATAAAACAATATTTCACCAAGATGACATTTCTGCTCATCGTTTATTCTTAGTCAAAGAAAACATCTCAGAACCAGAAGGTGTTAGCTTTTTCTTGCACCGTGTACAACTTTGATGTTGTACCATTCGATTATAGTATTTTCCGATCAGTGCTACATTTTTTGAAAGGCGATGCCACTTTGAAAATAAGCATGTTTAATCAGGATGTTGGGCATTTCCTCCCTCAAAACTAAGGGCTGGTACCACTACCAGATTCAATTTCTAGCTAAAAAATGGGTTACAATAATTGTCAGTGATCGTATATATTGAAGAATAATTTTGAAGTTTAGATTTTTTACTGAAATTTAAATTTAACTTATTTATGCATATAGACCTTTGTAATGGTGTATTATTTATGATTTAAACATTTATTCATATAGAATATTCTATAATTATAATTTTATTTTATCAGATTCCTCCCTGAAGTTTTACTTTATTTATTCTTCTTATTTCTTATATTCTTCTTGTTTCTTACTCCTGCAGTAGGTCTACACTATAACATTGGACAAAACATCCACAACTATAAACAGTAGAAATTCATTTTTATGCTTTATTTCTGATCATTCGACCCACCACCATCTCCTTGATTACATTTCCATCATAATTAATTATTGAATCATAAGTAATTATTATTTATTAATTTTCAGAAAAGAAAGTCACAATTGTAGATAATACAGAAACAAACCTGATATCACTCAGAAAAACTATTTACCTTACAATTCAATCAAGTCTTGACTTTGAGGAATGCGCCCATAAGTTGTTGAAAATGGAAATTAAGCCTGGACAAGAGAAGGAACTTTGTCATATGTTTCTAGATTGCTGTGCTGAACAAAGGACCTATGAAAAGTTTTTTGGTCTGCTTGCTCAAGTAAGTTTCATCTCTTAAAAAAAGTAAACGAATTTTCTTGGAAACCACATACATAAAGACATAAGAAAAAAAACTTATAAGTATTTTTTCTGTTTTGCACGATTCAAAAAATAGAAATTCCACAAAAAAAAAAAAAAATAATAAAAAAAAAAAAGGACAAAAGTTAAGTGTTTTCATATTTTTCTTTTCATGATTCATTCAAGACATGATTCTAATAATACTGGATAAAAATTCCTTTATAGAGATCAGTCTTAATCAGGGGTCTCCAAACCTTTTGGCATTGAGACATCCAGCTAATTTTGTGGGCCCCATTTAAACCTCTCTTGAGTACCGCAGGCCATGGCTTGTGATGAAATAAAAATCTTATTCAATATATGACACTTCAGTTATTAAATGAGCTTCCTATGAGAAAAAATATATATAAAATGGCTAAATATAAAGTTTGAAAGAACATGATAGATAGATAGATTGAAAATAACTTTATTCTGGGACACAGTTCCTTGAGAATAACAAAATAGAACAAAATTAAAAGATTACATCTGACCAAAATAAAATCAATAGAAAAAAAGAAATAATGTAAAGAAAATATAAGGTAAACATTCTATATACAAACAAAATAATTAACACTATAAGACACTTAAAGCTATTTGCACTGATAGACCAGTATACACTTTTAAGAAAACAATAAAGAATTAAAAAATAAAAATATATTAAATTCTTCTTTAAAATAAGCTTTGTGTTTCTGTTGAGAAAACGGAAAGCTGAACCTGACAATATAAAGTGTCTGATTAATATATGAATACATTATCATTTAAATGTTGATTAATGTATAACTACATCATCATCATTTCTTAACGTAACAATAGGCAAGAATTTAGTGGTGTGTAAAAGATAATAGTTGTAAACTACCAATAGATGCGTTCAGTGACATCAAAAGAAGGAATATCGTCATATGATAATTGGAAACTGGAGAAAAAAAGAAAAATGCTTATTCAGGTTGAAAATGAATCTCTGGAAATAATAGTCAGAAGGTGTGCATAATATATCGTTGGGAAGCGGAGAATTTTAGAAAAAAATAATACCAAATAAATAAAGTTAGATAAGAATGATGAAAAAAATGTAATGATAATTTAAGAAAACTAACATTATTTAACGTAAATCACATGTTTTCAAGGAAATGAAATGAAATTTTCTTACTAAATGTAAACTTTAAAAAAATTTTTTATGTAAAAAAAGTATTTAAAATCCACCGAATTAATCTAATGCCATTGTTTAAAATACTATTTCATTGTACTTGTGTGAAAGAAGAAGTGAAATATAAACATATTTCATGGATATGTTTATAACCTTTAATACATTTTCTGTAGTTTGATAACTCCAGATATGATATTATATTTAAATAATTAGGTACCCATCGGCCATTTATTCCAAAAAACAAATAACATGACTTAAAAGTACACAAAACTTGGATTTCCTACTTTTCTACTGAAAACTAGCCCATTGTTTATATAAACTTTATAAACTTTTTTGTAGGTCTTGAGATCTGCTATCAGTCCTGTCAAAATTTCTCTCTACTCACGGGACACTCTGTATATATATATTTTCCTCAACCCAATATTTAAGGTCAAAATTGTCAATCTGGTGAATAGCCATTTTAAAAAGATATAAATTTATATGTATTACCTAAATTAAAATCAATCAAATTTAAGTTTTATCTAAGCAAAATTGTATTTAGTTTATAGGGATATATTGCACCAAAAATAAAAAATATTTGGTAAGATCACCGCTTTTGGTATCTAAATTTATTTTTTAATCTGACAGAGGTGTTGCAACAATGTTTTAGCCTGACAAGAGGCTGTGGCAAAAAAGTTTGAGAACTAACTGCTACCCTACATTATCAGGATTCTGTACTAATTTTAACAACTGAACTGTACATACAATTTCCCTGGTAGTTAATGGCACAAACCTAAAAGGAGAGGAAAGGGGGTAAACTTATGTCTAAACATCATCAGTCTGTGAAGTCATTCAAAAGTGATACCTTAACCTTCCTCTCTCCATAAAGCCTTGAAGATTAAGCTGGGGGTCTGCCATTAAGAAATATTTGTTCCACGTTTCATCTAAGTTGTATGAGTCAACCCTTTGATATGTTCCTCACTCTCCCAAAGGTAAAGAGATGATTAACCCAGAAGGAAAACTTAATGTTTTGCTCCTGATGATGCCTAATCCCATCTTCTAAAAAGTGGATACTACTTAATGTTCTATTAGTTACAAAGACAAACCTGATAGCTGAATGTAGATATTGGCTGCATTCTTACTAAGTGCCAAATCAAGATCCTTCATGGAAGGTTGTAGTAGTATAAGTAGTTTTTTTTAAATCTATATTTTCCTTTTTAATATTTCTCTGTTTTGTGTACCTGTAGTGTTCTAAGATTTATCTTGTAGCCTTCTTATATTTAATAATTCATATCTGTTGACTATTATTAGATATATGTTAGTTGACTATTGTTAGATACTTATTCATATTTTATTTTCTTCTTTCAGCGGTTCTGCCAAGTAAATAATACTTACATAGCACCTTTCGAACAGATATTTGCTGACACATATTCTACAGTTCATCGTTTAGACACTAATAGATTGCGTAATGTAGCAAAATTATTTGCACATCTTCTCTTCACAGATGCTATTTCTTGGGCTGTGCTTTCTAATATTCGACTTAACGAAGAAGATACTACAAGCTCAAGCAGAATTTTTATCAAAATTTTATTTCAAGAGTTATCTGAATATATGGGTTTGGTTAACCTTAATGCCAGATTGAAAGATCCGTAAGTAATAATTTTATTGATATTATTTTTTAAAATATTTATTTTACGTGGTACAGACCGCTTTTTGTCATATTATTAACGTCTGTCTAAAACTTCTTGAATGACTTCATTTTATCTCAACCTAAAACTTTTTTATTTACAAGTTTTCAGAAATATGGAGTTTTCGATCTGAAGAATGGTAAACTTTGTCTATTTAATGAGGTAATAAAAACTCATGAAACCCCACCCGTTTGCTTTCCACTTGAATCTTAAGATAATTTCATCATAAAATCGAGATAAAAGGTGGCAACAAGTACCAAAATATTGTGCCCTTTGGCCAATATAACCTCAAGTGGAAAGCAAATTCACCAGGTTGGAAGGTATTCATCAGTTTTCAGTACCTCATTAAATTAATTAATTTAATGAGAAAACACTCCATTTCTCAGAATTTAGTTGCTAAAAAAGTTGTGGGTTGCTGTTTGATTTTATATCAGACTATAGCAACCCTATTTATTTGGGTAGCACTGCTTGAAAATAAATAATTTTTTTTGTTTTCTAAAAATATAATAAGATCCTTTTTGCATAAGTCTTTTGGGAATATCTTTGAAAAATTGGGGTTTATACATAAAATGGATTAATGATACATATAAATTACTATATAGCATTGTGTGCTATAAGAATAACTTTGTTATATGATAGTGATAACTCTCCAAGGCAAAAGTAGGCTTTCCAAGTCTACTTTAAACTGCAACAAGTACGATGGGAATAGTGGAAGAGTGTTTATATTATAATTAATTTAATGGTTTCAGTTCATTAATTTAAATGTAATTTATGAGCGAATAAAGTTATTGTATTACTCATATTTTATTAATTGCTATTAATCTATAAATTACTAAACATAATGAATCAAAAGCCACAATTTAACTAAATTATTTATTATTTATTTGTATTTATTTATAATATGAAATAAAGTTGTAAATTTTTGTAAAATATTGTTTCAGAACTCTTCAATCAGCCATGGAAGGTTTATTCCCGAGGGACAATCCAAAGAACACACGCTTTGCCATTAACTTTTTCACATCTATTGGTCTTGGTGGTCTCACGTCAGTATATATTTTTTTTTTTACAAGTCAAATTAATTCAAGACTCTTTATCTAACTATTTTTCAGAAGTTAATTATTATGAAATGTGAACAATCATATAAATTATAGGTTTTCCTAGAATACTTGATGATTTTTGAATGCATACTAAGAACACGGCACGTTCATATACAATTATTAATGTGAAAAACATTCTCTCCTCATTTTGTGATTAAATGTAAACTCGTATGAGGTGTGGCTATTAAATAATGAGACCGATGCTATAAAACATTTTATTTTGATTTCTTACATATTTACTAATTATCATCTTCAATATACATCCCTCCTCTATCCCTACAAGGTACCCATGTTTGAGATCACTCTATGAATTACCATCAAGTTTTTTATCTGGAATCAAGTGAAGACTGAACTGTGACTGAAGAGTCAGAGAGTGTTTATCTCTTCTTAACAGTATACATAGTATACCATAGGTGGGGAATCTTTTTATCATTAGAGGCCACAGTAAGGTTAGGCAGTGCTAATGGAGGCCATAATAATTTTTTACATTTTACCATTGCTATTTTTATTTATCACTAAATACATACAGATATTCAAGATAATTAAATTAATTTCCAAATTTTCCTTACTTAAATAATTAAATATTAATTAATTCTAGAACTATATTAATAAATTTTGTACAAAAACATTTGGAGGCCGCAACATCACAGAGGCCACATGCAGCCTCCGAGGCCGCAACCTCGTCACAGAGGTCACATGTGGCCTTCGAGGTCACGGTTCCCCACCTATATACTATACTATTTTTTGCTTTACTCCTTATTCAGTCTTTTGTCTATTTCTAACATTTCCTTACAAGCTTTAGTTGTTCATCTGTTTGCTTGTGCATATCAATGCTCAATCCTTTGTTCATATTTAATTTCCCTACTATTTAAGAATACTCATCTCTTTATTAGTGGTTACACTCTCATTATTGTTCATCCCTTAGCTTGCCAACCAATCGTGATTTGAGAGCTCATCCTTCCAACATTACCTGTAATCCTTTGTAGTCTTCTCCTTATCCATTGAGTCCTACATTGAAAACACTCTGTTGAGGCCTTCTAGTGTCATCTCAAACACACCTTCGACAATTGGCGAATTCTATATTTTCTCAGGATGACAGGAGAATTCAAGGATATATCAGGACCAAGCAGCCAAGGATCGCCTTTTTAATTACAAAGTATTTTCAATTTCTACAAATAGAAATTAGTTGTTGTCTCCAATGGTATTTTTTGTATTATTTAGACTAAAGGAGAAATTTCTAACATCAGAATTTTGTTAATTATTCTGTTATATTTTTTAAATGATTAAATTTTGAAATTATGATATAAAAAAAGAAATATCTTGAAAGCATTTTAGGAAGTCATTATGTTGGCTGGTTATATAAATCCTGTATTATTAAGTTATTTCCAGTTTCATTAAGTTTATGTTAATGAAAAATGCTTTATCTATATGCTTAGGGATGAACTGAGGGAGCATTTAAAAAATTTACCAAAATCGATTCCTGTGTCACAACTTATTCAAGAATTATCATCTGAATCTTCCACTTCTTCATCATCTGAATCTTCCTCTGAAACAGAGTCAACGTCATCTAGTGATTCATCAGGTTAGTTCTTCTTTTACTTTCACGTACTTATGTATGATATATATTGTAAAGATATATCTTTCAGATAGTTTTGATTTACAAAAACAAGAACACAATTCAACAACTCTATTGATTACTGTTATTGGTGATTTACAATTGAAATTAACACCTATTAATGTCTAATTAAATAAATTAAATTAATGCCTAATTAAATAAAATAAATTAATACCTACAAAATTCTTAATATATACAAATATAACTTGTTTACATAAAAAGATAAACTATACACTGATAAAAGCCTTCTTCAAAAAGAATTCTCAAATCCTAGAATCACAAACCTAAGTATTTTCTTCAACTGCTAATAACTAAGTTCGTTTCACTAACTAGATACTGAACTTATGGACTATAGATGACCCTATAATTCTGTGTATAGAACCATTTATTATAGTGTACGGCATCTAGATATTTCTTTCAAAATGGTCTTTGTGCATGCGTAAACAGTCTCAAAAATGTAGTCGTACAAAACAATGATTTTGATTAGATTCATCATATCTGTTATTTGGTATTTAATATCAGGCAGATATTTTCTTCATTGAAATAGGGATTAAATGTTGAATTTTCAAAATTCCTACAAATTTATTTTTGTATATTATTATTAATTACATTTGATTACAAAAAAAATTAATAAATAAAATAAAAATTGGTGACTAAAGAAGAAATAAGGGTTGGAAGCTATCACAGAAACAGCCAAGAGTTCCTGATCTTTGCTGATTCTCTCCCTTTACAGATACGCAATACTCATCTGTATAGGACTTTCATATTGCTTGTTTAACTTTTATATATCACTTATACATCATTTTTAAAAAAGGTTTTCAAGTGAAATGTTGAGGATCTTCTAATATAAACTTTCTTTTTTTTTTTTTAAATTTAAATATATATAAACCTAATAATATACAATATTTAATTATTTATTAACATTAAATTATTTTTTCAACAAGTTTCGTGATAAATTTTTTCGATATAACTCAGAATTTTTTCAAAAAAAACATTTAGTATTGTTTGATACTATACACAGTCGTAAAATGAAATGGAAAATGATGCAAACGTATAAATTAAACAGATTATATGGATGGGAAAAACATTGTAATTAATGAAGTTATATCATCGTTTTCACTTTCATTTCTCTATATATGAAAATACTTATCTACTCTAATGTGTGATCCGTGTACTGCACCAGATTTTTAGGTTTGGCTTAAAAGTCACAGATTATTCAAGAATATTCATTCGAACTTGACCGTACCAAACATTTCTTCCCACATGCTGTAGCCTCATAATGGCTTAAAGATTAAGCACACCCACACAGAAAAAAAGTCCAACAAAGTCCAATACAAAAATTGTTTGCTGTATCATTGCTAATATTGGTCCAATTAAGATTTATTCCTTTTCTATTTATTTATTTATATGATTATGTGCATCATTATTTGAAAAACAATTAAATTCCTTTAACAAAAAAAAAAAAAAAAAATCAAAATTGTCAAGATACAGCAAAAAAAAAAAAATCATTGTACTTCAAATCCAATGTATTATAATGCTTTTTAAAATCTTATTTCCTTTATTACAATCAATGTATTGTATTTATAATTCTTGTTAGAAGAGTGATATTTATTACTATGCATTTTTTTTATGACTTAACTATTATTATAGGAAACGGAACCCTTCTAGGGCATACCCAGCCTCTATAAAGTGGGTACTCTTAATTAAATAATTAATTAAGGAGAAGAACCTAACGCTTGAGCGTGATTTCGGCCCCATCACCTCCCTGTACAACCGTTAGCTTTGTAACAGTACTTCCTCACATAGTAATGAACCAAAGACTCCTTCATGGGTTATTAGTGATACAGTTTTTTTTAAACAATTATTGTAGTAGTAAATTTTTATATATTATTCTCAACATATATGTTTATAACAAATGAAAATATTTAATTTTTTTGTATAACTTCTATTTATGTTTTAGAGGATGAACGCAGTAAAAAGAAAAAAAAGAAAAAAAGGCCTAATGCTTCAAAGGAGATTCCAAATAAGAAAAGGGAAAAGAACCAAGGAAATTTTCAAGAAAATAATAGATCAACCAAAGAAACAAAGAAAAAAAGTTATTACAAAACAAAACATGAAAGAGAGGAAAAGCATCATCCTAGAAAATCAAAAAAGAAATAATATTTTTGTTTATATTTAATTTCTTTATAAATATAATTTAATGGTTTGAATTATAATAAATATTATATTTTCATTGTACAGACAACAATATTTGTGTTTAATATATATATATATATATATAGATATATATACAAGTTATAATTTAACAACATATCTTGATCATTTGAAAATAATTTTATATTTTGATAATATTTTCCTGGACAAGAATAGAATAAAAAATTAGATAAAATTATTACATCATTTTTTTATATTTTTATTTAACGCCTCTACTGTTGACTATTAGGCCATTCGATTCCTGGTAGCCCAATACAATTCTGACATAACGGATTTCTGCAATTTGTTGATACCATTGCTTGTATTTGTGCTCGTCCTATCAGAAAGATTAATCCGGATATCTGACAGAGTGGGGTATACTGGGAGGCGCTGGTCGTACATCTCGTCTTCCTGCCAAAGTGGAAACACAGGGCTTTCCATCACTCCAAAACTATGTAATGGTAATTGTATCCAGTCGTCATACAGAATTTTGTCACCGATACTTTTCTATTTTTTGGTTTTTTCTTCGGCCTCTGTTAAAGATGCCCATTTTTTCTCTGTTGCCTGTTGTTTTTGCCAATTCTTGTTCTCTTCCTTGTAAAAGGATTTTAAAATTCTTTTAGCAAATTTTTAGGGCAGCAGAGGATTAGTTTGTGTCATTACCGAGGTGATCTGTGCCAGCTCATCAGGTTTTTTGCTTCCTGGTAAACCGCAATGGCTTAGAACCCATTGGAATATAACTTGGACTCCTTTTTTAATTAAATTATCAATCCGATCTCTAGCACCTTTGACATCAGGATGGTCCAGGCCATTGCAGATCGCCATTATGGCTGCTCGTGAATCGACTGACTGAAAAGACTAATGAACAGCTGCGTAAGATTTATAATTGGTGCCCCGAGATACTCCTATGTCTCTCACCACTACACTGAGTTAAAGTGGCTCTTCCCCCTCCATTCGAAGACAATATTCTCTTGGCACGTTCCTCTATCAAATCATCAACAATCATCGTCCTTTTGCTTAAAACCTTCTCCAATTCAAGTCCTCAGTCCATTCTCTTTCCACAAGATCTAAACCTTCCGATATTTACACCCCTTCTTATAAATCTGCCTCATTCCAAAACTCCTTTATTGCTCGCTCTGGAATTCCCTTCCTATCAAAATTCAGCATTCCTCCTTTCTATCTACATTTAAAACACTCCTATTCCAATTTCTGTCCCAAAAACAGTCAGATACCCACTAACCTTTTAAGTAAAATTACATATTATCCATAATGATGTAGCTACATATAATTCATCACTTAAATACTCTGTCAATTTTTACTATCAGATTCAGCTTTCTTTTTTTTCTGCAGAGACACAGAGTTTATTTCTAAGAAGAATGTAATGTATTTTTTATTTATTCTATATTTTTTTTCTAAAATTGTATATTTATATTTTACCACTGTACATAGTTTTAAGTGCCTTGGCATAGTTTCAAGTGTTTTGTATATTAGATTTTTTTTATTCTGTATATAGTATGTTTAACTAATGTTTTCTTTATTTATTTTTCTTTGTTTTTTATGTCTTTGTTTTTAGTTAGGCCAGATATAATATTTTAATTTTGTACTTTTTTGTTATTCTAAAGGGACATGTCCCAGAATAAAATTATTTTCTATTGGATTCTATTCTATATATGTGGAATCAATTCTGCTCAGAATAGTGGTAATTTATTGTTTCTATACCAAGAGCTTTTAATTACCATTCAGATGTTAGGTGTTAACTTACATAAAGTAAATACAGGTTGCGTTAGATCTAGCCGTGCCTCTGCAACAAATTTTGGCTGGTCATTACATTTATCAAATGGCAGACTCATGCCCAGATCCATGCCTTTTCCTTCCTACACTCCCTAACTTTTACTGTTAGTGGTTTTTGCATCTTGATGCGCTGGACAGATGTTTCTTGAGCAGCCCAGTACTTCAAACCAAGTCTTTTCATTCTCTCTATAAGAATGATAGCTGCCACTTCTCTTCTTGTTTGAAGTGGTTCTATACCTGCTTGAATCTGGAGAGCTGCAATTGGTGTGGATTTTGGCACCCCTATAATCAGTCTCAAAGCGTTGTTTTGCACCACATTCAAGGAACTCAGTGAGTTTTCTGATGCAGTCAATTAGACATCACTTCCATATTCCATTACTAGTCTTATGTATGTCTTATAAGCTAGGGCTAATAATTCTTCGTGAGCTCCCCATTTGATTCCTGTCAATCTTTTTAGCAAGATTAATCTGCCTTCTCCTTGCTCAATTAATTTATCCAAATGGTTCTTCCAACTAAGTTCACAGTCTAACTTTATACCCAAGTATGTTGCGAAATCGGTCAGGCAGCTTCTCATTATTATATATAATTTCTACATTGTCTTTTAGTCAAGAGAGTAAAGATTAGGTACTCAGTTTGAGAGTATTAACCTCAAACTGGTTGTCCACCATCCATTTATGCAATGATACTAATGCAGTATTTAAGCAGCACTGAATAGCTTCTATGTGACTGCTAGTAGTCCAGATAACTAATTCGTCTGCATAGAGAAGAATTGTTTGAACTTCGGGAATAGCTTCTAGTGTTTCAATTACATCGTTAATCAATATGCTAAACGAAATTGGGCTCAAAGCTGTACCCTGGGGAACCTCTCTTTTTGTCTGTTTATAAGGTGAAACTACACCACTATATTTTGCTCCGTCATGACAATTTTCATGAATAGTCAGCTGAACTTAATTCCATTTATTGGTTAACTGAAAGAGAACACTGGCAGTTTCACAGCTAATTTTTTTTTAAAACAGTTTGGTGTCGGGAGCAGAATCTTATCCATCCTTGAAAAATGTTAGTTTGAGGTGCATCAAATGGACTATGAATTGATTTTAAATATTCGTTAGTCTTTTTGTGTAAAATCAGCCTTAACCCTAATAGTGGTGTAGTAAGAAGAATTAATTTCGTCATTGGTAGATCGTCATTTTTTTATTTAAAAGATTCACCACATTGAGCATGTTGTATCGATTAGACTGGGAATTTTTTCAAATTGTTGAAAGACTTAGATTTAATTTTGAGCCAGGCTACTATTGGACACATCCCTCTCCAGTCGAAAGCAGATATGGAATTTTCTTCCCAGGAAAAACTTGCTCTTCCATATTCTTATTGTAGTATTAAACAGAAATATGAATTTAATGCTAAGAGTGGGTACTGGTAGTTAATATTGGCAAACGATAGATACTTATATATTATTTATACTTTATTTTTCAATATAGTTTTAGTTAATTCATATGACTATGGTGGTTCAATTCTCTGCTGGCAAACTCTAATTCGTTCGACCTGTGATGCTCCATAAAAGAGCATTTATTAACCAGAAATGTTACATTTTGTGTCATATCAATAATTATTATGCTCATTATAGTAACAAAGAAACTAAATTACTTATGAAGGAAGGAGATGGTCCGGGGTGGTGGTCATAAATAGGCTAAATAGTGGTAAAACTATTTTATTAAAAGCCTTTTGGCCAAGACCAACACCGCCTATCTGTTGCAAGACCAAGACCAAGACTGGTAAAAAAAATTGATTTTTTGAATAAAAATTGAGGCAAAATAGTTTCTAATACTTGACAATTTTAGTTACTATATGTAAAGAATTGGTTAATACAATTTTGGTGCAATATACTTTTCCATCTAACTCTTCTAATTTTTCATTCAGTCTTAGTTAGGTTTCTCATATCTAAAAAATTACAGTAATATCTCTCTAGTAATAAGCTAATAGCAAGTATGTTATGACAGTCTTGCGCAAGACCAAGACTGAGTTTGTAAGACCAAGACTCATCTCGCCCTCGCAGTTGGGCAACATTAGTTATTAAGCTGTTATTTTCCATTGTAAAGTTTACTAAAACAAAATTATGAGATTTTCATTGCCTTGCCATGGATAGGTCAAAAGGTTGTTTCACTAATTGTAAGTGGATAATGTTGGGATTTCACAAAGAGGAAATGCATCAAATTATTCCCTAATTTAATTTTCTAAAAGGTTACTTGATGATTTTTTTGGAATAAACGGCCAGTAGATACCTAATTATTTAAATATAATATCATATCTGGAGTTATCAAACTACAGAAAATGTATTAAAGGTTATAAACATATCCATGAAATATTTTTATATTTCACTTCTTCATTCACCCAAGTATAATGAAATAGTATTTTAAACAATGGCATTGACTTGATTTTAAATACTTTAAATCAATCTTAGAAAAACATTTAAAAGTTTACAAATAGTAGGCAAATTTCATTTAACTAGTTTTAGCCCAGTGGTCGAAATTCGACCATAGCCATTAAAAATTTGAGGAAAAGATATAATTAATTAAAAATAAAATAAAGTAAATAAATAAAGAGTAAATCACGATTCAAAAATCCTCATTTATTAATACAAACAAAATTTCAATTTCAATTAAAAATCGAGCTTAAGTCATTTAAAATTATTTATAAGTAATACAAAATATACTCATTCAAAAATATTTAATTTATGTGTGTTATTATCACAATAAATTAATGTTATGATTAAGCAAGTAATAAATAAATTTAAATTAGCAATTGAAATTCACTTTAAATCCATTTTTATTCAGAACTTCTATGTAAATAATGTTCTTTTTGAATGTTCTGTTATTGTTTACTGCATAGCCATATTCATTGCCATTGAAAGTATAAATTTCAATATTTTAAATGAACGTGCTCTAATTGCTCTAATAATATACACATTTTTCCAAAACTTTTATCCTGCGATTTGATTATGGTCATAGTAAATGCAGCTATAAATAGGAACGTTGTTCTTTGAAAGTCGAATGTAAGTATAGTGTCAGAAAATGTTAAATTAATTCTTGGAATTAAAATTATTTAATTTAAAGTAGCCCCCATTAATACTTCATTCTCATTCTTTCTTGTTCCATTAACTAATGCTTGTGTAGTATTTA